TCGAAAACTCATCTCAGACAGAAAAAAAAAAAAAAAGTACAATGCAAAAGAATCGGTGAAAAGAACCGGCCATCTGTCTCCATGGGCAACGTTACTTTTATTTATTTTATTTCTTTTCATTCCACTTCCTACTTGAATACTCCGCATCATCTCGCGACGGACCGCACCGAACGCTACCAGCGATCCCAGCCAATACAGCGCTGTGACTGGACCTGACCACGCGTACCTACAGCGTACCGTTGCGCCCTCGTCCTAATGGTCACGTGACAGCCACGAGGCACGGGATTGGCTGGGATGATTCTTAGCGTACGCTGCCTGGTCCACCGCAAGACGAAACGGGGTATAGTAACCGTTAATTTCCGACGTAACAACCTTCCGTGTAGTTATTTTTCTTTCTTTGTTCTCCGGAAGGGTTGAAATTTGTTTGCTGGATTCATCGGACTTTCCGCGGAAAGAGAGAGAGAAACAAAAAAAGAAATAGTAAAAAGAGGCATAGATATCCACGAGTGTTCCCTCTTACCCGGAAGCGACATTTGGGCTCGATCGATTTTTGGATTGGCCACAAGGTAGCCCCTTCTCCGCATTCCTCCTTCCTACAAAAACCATGCTCCCCCTCCTCTCTCTCTCTCTTTCGCATCCTTCTTCCTTTCTATTGTAGGGTTCTCTTTCTATCTATCTATCTCAGCCCGATTCAACGAGTCGCTCGACGCCCAATCGCCCGCTTAAAACTATACCGGCCCACAGCGTTTCTTCCAAACCGGGAAAAGCCCAGAGCCAGGGAGACCCTAAGCTGACAGTGCGGGGGAAGCTACGTGCTTGATGGACCAATCGTATGCCTATCTTTTGCCACGTGATCACGCTTCCACTCTACCCACGCATAGAGATAAAGAGAGAGAGAGGGGTCAGGTGATGAAAGGGAGGCTGTTGATTGTCCGGCGAGCGCGTAGCTCTCACCGCACTGTCAACTTGGGGGCGAGCGGGGCGTGGTCATCGACAGGATTAGAACGGCGGGGAGCCGTTTCAGTTGTCCGGCCTGCAGCGCGAGCCTCCTAGCTTTAATGAAGCTCGCGCGCCTCGTGAGCTTCGAGGGTGCGCGCGCAGCCAATGCACGGCCGTAGCCTCCTATGTATACTGGCCAAGTCTGGCAGATCGCTAGGAGACGCGGCCGCCGAAATGGAAAAAGTGGAGTGGCAGGCAACGGATGAGAGGAGAGCCACGTGACTGGCGCCCCGCTGCGGCGAGACGCCGATACACACTTCTCCCGAGCGATGGAGTGTGTTTCGAGTCCTCGCCGCTGCACAAGCTGTGCGCTGACGTCCAGGTTCCCCGAGAAATGGCTCTTTGATGCTCTGTGCTAGCAGATCCTCGCACTCCAAATCTGCGACCGGGCACTCTATGGCTCCGTCGTCGAACTGTTATGCTTTGTGAGTATTAGAGGAGGCTATATGGCACTGCGGAACGCAACGAGCGCGCGCGATCGAGCAATTGGAAACTCTCTGCAATATGTAGGCTCTCTATACGTCCCAACTCCTGGCACACCGAAGTTCCCGTAGACTGTCAAGCTGGAAAGCGACCTACAGCAGAACAGGCGTCTGACACATTCACCGCCGCTGCTCTGACACCACCAGGATCGCGGCCGGCGACAGTGTGACACTTTTGTGACGTCATCAAACGGAAATCGAGGGACCACTATTTTTTTTTTTTTTTTCAGACACAATCAACACTCCAGTCGGAAACCGCGTTCCCTGTACCGCACTAGCAGACAACGTTTTCATGCTCGAAGACGCGAAATCACCACGTATGCAAAAGTTAAAGGGGTCGATCATGAAACGACATCGGATTTGAATGTTCATGGCTTTACAGTGGGTCCTAGTCTGGCCCAAGTATACTCGCACAGGCCGCCACTGATTCAGAGGCTTCTTGGTCGCGGTGAAATTCCGAGGATAAATGGGGACTATTTCTTCCAGTCTTGCCTTCGCAAACCTTGATGACGTAATTGTCGGATCGAAACCGCCCGCCTGAGGACAGTCGAGCGCGGCTCATGGATGGGATACGAGAACTGCGTGAGCGCTCGACTTCGGCTCGAAACAATCAATACCTCGACGGACACTAGGTTAGTGGCTCATATCCAACCACTGCGGTGATGAGAATAGCCGAACTCTAAAGGCCTGTTCCCACATGCAGCGGAGCGCTACAAGCATAGCGCTTACCTCGCGCTAAGCGCGTGCTGATGGGAGCGTTCACCAGCTTTGTATCGCACCGTAAAAACGGTTGCTCATGGCAGACGATAAGTAGCTGACGGCACGTGAGGAGCGCTACATCAGCGCTTCGCTGCATGTGAGAACCGGCCTTAACAATGCCTGGAGCCAGCACCCGTTTTCTACTTGGCCAACCCCAGCGCATGGGTATGATCAGTGGGTATGATTAACGTTTCCTGTATAGGAAACGTTAATCTCCGCCATCTTGGTGCTTGTGCAAAGCAGACACATCTGCCGATCGTCATGATTCCAAAGTGCGACTTCCTCTGCATTAGATTCGGTGAAGCTCATGTAATATTGCTTTGCTCTGTCGCGAACTCTTTAAACATTTGTGGAGGACGGAAAAGCGTTTCTTGTGATTTCAGATGAAGCATCAGATAACCGACAACCATGATATAAAGCCAAAATATGGGCAAGTGCTGTTACTTTGAAACGTAGCTTATTCAGTGGCTCTAGTTGGCGGCATAGGATAGGCACCAGGCCACCACGTGGCCGCTTCTTCTAGCTCCGAGTTGAGGGGACGAAGGATGCTATTTCTCGAATTCATTTACCGACTGCCATAGCTTAGAAAAAAAAAAATAAGTCTCCAATTTACGCCGTGAAAGTGGTCGGACAGCAAAGCTGTGGTATTCCCTGCAACGATTGTCCACTGCGCCAGAGACCCTTTTTATGGCAAACGACACCAGGTGGTGCTCCAGTCTTTGAAGTGCCAGAGAACTTTCGGTTTATAAAAATAACAAACAAGGGCCACCTTAATACCGCTACTTGAAATGTAGATAAAACTTTTAACCACCAATTCTCAAGGCGAACGACAAAAAAAAGAAAAAAACGAAGTTAAAATGTTTGGAGTATTCTTGTAAACTAACTTGGGGGGGGGGGGGGGGGGAGGGGGGGGGGGGGGCTCTTCCAAGATGTAATATTGTACAGCTGCAGGCCCTCGTTAAATCTCCAACTTTCTTGTCCGTGTAGCATTTACGCTTTCTAGCACTGGTGACATAAGCAAGCTCAACAGGCTTGCAAAGACGCTGCGACTGGACGTCGCTTGGGTCACAAGCGGCAGTTCGTGTTTGTAAACAGCAAAAGGATTTCTACCAAATGATTGACGAAAGAAAAGTAAATACACTGCACCAAAACTTTCTACATATAAAAAAAAACTTCGTACGCTGCCGTTGCCGCGGCACCTTATGCAACCGCGATCTTTACCGAGAAACGCATGCGGGGAGCGCTACGTGCTTATCATCGTTCGCGCGCGCCTTATAATCTATCACGTGGTTCTCACTATTGCTTTCTGGTTTTCTTACTGAAACAAGTGTCAAAACCACATGATAAATGATAAGGCGTGCGCGAGCGGTGATAAAGCACGCGCGGAAGTTTGCAGTCAACAAACACACACACAAAAAAAACGATTTTGCGAGTTATATACAACTTTGCTGTAAAACTAAGGCGAGTTCATTCGGTTATTAACGTCAGGGAGTGATTCTGAGTAGTATTTAGCGAAAGTAGAAAAATCGTTTCATTACCCTTTTAAAGGGATGCTGATCCAAACATTTCAGTGTCTGTAATAAGTGGCGCACTATCTTTCTATGAGTCACCAGCCGCCAGTGTGCGCGAGCACACGCAACGAAATTGATGTCATCATATATCCCCATTCGTGCTTATTAAGCGTGAATGTGGGATATGATGACGTCAATGTCGTTGTGTGTGCTCGCGCACACCGGCGGCTGGTGACTCATAGAAAGATAGTGGCGCCACCTATTACAGACACTAAAATGTTTGGATCAGCAACCCTTTAACGCGCATGGCACCACGCTGTACTCACTTCAGCCCTTAATTGACAGTGCGGTTGGAGTTACGCGCTCGCCGGGCCAAGCAGCCTCCTCTCTTTTATCGCCTGCCCCGTTCTCTGCACCTGGGGCTTAGCGAGACCGTGATCACGTGAGGAAAGATGGGCGTATGATTGATCCAACGAGCACGTAGCTTCCACCGCATTATCAGCTTGTATACCGTATAGTTTAGCGTGCGAACGCTGTAAGCAGAGCTGCCCAATAAGCTGCGTTCAGACCATCTTCACTCCATCCCGCTTTCTTGAGGGCTCCTCCATTTTGGTGCAGGTTCAGAGCGGCGCCCACAAGGAAATCGGGGAATTAAATTTAGCGCCTTTAGTCCAGCAGAACATCGTCCGGTGACAAGAACACAACTATAGTATGCTGCAGGTTAAGAAAAGAGGGTGAAAGGAAGGAAAGTGGGAGAGGAGGAAGCGGATGCAACGCTAGTGAGGGGAGAGTTTTTCCTCCCCTCGCTAGCGTTGCGTTCATTTCCTCCTCTCCCAGCTTCCTTTCCTTTTCCGAGTTGTCAACTAAATGTGTACGTATTTTGTTAAAGAAAGAAACAAAACTATTTTTTTTTTTATACTAACTCTGTTATGCTCACGTCTGGAATCTACCGTGAGCTTTCGTGGGATTTCTTGTTCTTCAAGGTCAGTTGGACTGTTCTAAATTGGTAAACGCTCCAATCTCCATCTGCTATTAACATGTTCATGCATTTAAATATTTCTAAGAACTCAGCGATGCCGGAACTGTTATAGAATAAGTGAATTTTTACTTTGTTCAGTATGTTATCTATATAGTGTTAAACAATTTTGAATGTTTCTTTTGGCCTCTGTTGTGATGTATCGATGATCAAAAGAATTAAAGGTATGATGCCCGTTGGTGGGCATCGTCAATAAACAAACAAACTCGCAGGCACTACTCGTGATCCGCTAAGTGGAACACACAAAAACGCACACACTTTAATCGAAAGTTTCACTGTAGGAACCTGGCAAATGACTTGACCCCTTCCGAAAAGCGGGTGTGCTGTCCGATGCCCAGGTCCCGCAGCCTGCCGCACTCGAGGCGGGAGTCGTGCGGCCGGGGGGCCCCCTGGCTGGGAGCCCGGTCTGGACTCAGGTGGTCGTGTCCGAGGTTCAGGACCTCCGCCATGATCAGAACCATCTGGAACTTGGTCAGGGGCTCCAGACCGCACCAGTGGAAGACGCCGGCCACGCCGCTGTCCTGCAAAAGTCACTGTGAGCACTGCCTCTGATCCCAGCAGTTGCACGGAGCAAGAGAGGATAACATACATTTCCTAACAGACTGAAACCCCAAGACTTAAAGGGGCCGTGCAACGACATTTGCTTGGAATGGTTTTCATCGTGCACAAGCTAACTGGCAGTAGTGCACAAGCTAACTGGCAGCTGTCCGGCCCAAGCGCGAGCGCTCTACCTACGTTAACACTGCGGCTCCTCGGAGGCTTGGAACGTGCACGCGCAGCCAAAGCACAACGGAAGGCAAGGAGCGCATGCTCGTTGCCTTCGGTCGTGCTGGCCATTAAACGAATCTTCTCTTTCTGCGTTGACGTCCTGCGCCGCCGCGTGAAAGAGGATTCGAGAAAAGGCAGCAGCCTTCAACTGCTCGTTTCGCTGTCAGAACAAGCGGGCAAGCGATCTGGGTCAATCATGTGTCATCCGCGTGGCGTCCAAATCACTTGCTCCAGACGTTGTCAGCGGAAGGACGGGAAAAATTATATGTTTTTTTCTTTTTAGACTTAGGCTGGGTGGCGCAAGCCACCGCCCGTTACAAAGGGTAACATCCATCCATCCATTAGACACGATGCACGTGATTTGATTCGAGTCCTCGCCGAACGCTGACGTAACGCTCGTTTTCGAATACGAGCCGAGCCGAGTTCACGCCGAAGGCTGACGCACGAGGCCAATAAAAGTTTTTCATACGAGGTCATCAGCGAGAGCTGCAGGTAAAGTAACTTATCGTCTGTTGTGAACGACTGTTTTTACACGAGATATGTAGAGTTAACCATAGACGAAATGCGGTTAATTAGGAAGAAACCCCACGGATTACCAGGAGTCGCCGTTCCGAAAGTTGCACAACAATGGAGGCGATGTCCTGCGTGTGCGATGGGTAGCGAATTTCGTAGTCGGAAACCTTGGTCTTCTTTGTGGAGTCTTTGAACAGCTGCAAGAGGACGGACACCGCGCTTTCGGCGTCGTATTCTTCGCCGCCGTAGAGGACAGGTATCCGCAGGATGATGGCATCTGAACGAAGAAAGCATTGCGTTTTTCATAAATCAGGACGAAGCCTCTGCTACGTTTTTCGCAATGAAGATGTCGCGACGGCGCATGTGCGCACTAGTCTTGACTCTTGACAGCAGAGTATCCGAATCTCCTAGCGAAAACTCCCCAATAGGGACTTTTCGTAGATCGTCTACCGAGGACTTCGTGGCCTTGCGGGCGCGTGGTTGGGGCCACGGCCGCCCACGTCGCTACTGCCTTGCCGCTTCACCAAAAGATGCATAAAAAAATGAAAGCCGTTTACAATTCCCTGTAACGCTGGATTAGAGCGCAGCTCTTGAGGAGGAAGATGAAAGCGTACTGAGGGATAAATGACACCTTGAGGTCTAGTGACCTCAAGGGGGTCACGTGACCTCAGGGGCTCACGTGACCTTTGGGGGTCACGTGACCTGAAGGGGTTACATGACCTCAAGGGGGTCACGTGACTTCAGGGGTCACGTGACCTCAGGGGGTCACGTGACTTCTGGGGGTCACGTGACCTCAGGGGGTCACGTGACCTCAGGGGGTCACGTGACCTCAGGGGCTCACGTGACCTCGGGGGTCACGTGAGCTGAAGGGGTCACATGACTTCAGGGGTCACGTGACCTCAGGGGCTCACGTGACCTCGGGGTGTTACGTGACCTAGGGGTGTCACGTGACCCCTTAGGTCACGTGACCCCAAGAAGTCACGTGACTTTAGGGGGTCACGTGACCTCAATGGTGTCACGTGACTTCAGGGGGTCACGTGACCTCAGGGGGTCACGTGACTTCTAGGTGTCACGTGACTTCAGGGGGTCACGTGACCTCGGAAGGGGTCACGTGACCTCGCGGTTACGCCGACGGCGACGGCGACGGCGACGCCGCTCAAGCCGGAAACGGGCCCCTAAGAGCTGCGCTCTAAAAACAGGAATCCAGATGGATTTCCTGAGTTCGTCGCTGGAGACGCGGCCTAGCGGACAGACGCGAGGGTTGCCCGGGCCTCAGCTCCCGGTCGTTCGACGCAGGCTACGTTGGCCGCTGGTCAGCGCCACCGGGCCCAAAACTACTCACTGTGGCCATTCTAACAACTTGCGCTTCCCTGGCAAAAAAAAAAAAAAAATCTTTGAGTCGGTTGTTAATAGCGGATCCGGAACCAACCGAGCGGCCGAGCTTGAGCAAACCTCGCGCGTCTTGCCCAATGTGCGCTTCACGAGTTCGGCTTCTCCACGGTGCACCTGTGTGATGCAGGAAGCGGATTCAACGGAGCTTCCTATCTATGTATAGGGTTCTGAGTGCTATCTCAATATTGGATACGGGGACATTACTCGAGTCACTAAACTCGTTGAATTGTCCCAATCAGTAGAGATTCTGCCCAACGTATGCCCGAGAACCAAGAATGCTGGGAACGTAGACGCACACACCGCGGGCACTCGCCTTATCGGCACTATAAAATATTTGAAGTAAATAAAAACAAAGATGCGATGACGAACCCACGTGCGAAGTGGCGCCATTTGTTTTCAGCTTTTAATTTAGAACGGTAACTGCCGCGAACGCCGGCACATGCAGCGCAAGTAACCACAACCACAGCACGCTCCTCGGTGATTGAGTGATCTAGCAAAAGGTCGATATCTCAGAGTTCTGAATAGCCGCATATGTGCACCGTAACGACGCGGCAATTAAGCTGTGAACAGGTTCCTGCGTTCGGTTCTAGGAGGAGGAATTACGTTCATTGCAAATTTTTCAGTTCTTATTTTATTGTTATCACAGGTCGTTTTTTTTTTTTTTTTTTTTTGTTTGCGAGCAGAAGGAAGCAGGGTGAACGTCGTGGTACAGCTTGGCGCAAACAGAACAGTAATCAGGCCACATGATAACACAGCCCAGAATTAGAGAGGCGGGTACAGTCTTTGAGCACCTCGACTTTAGCGTGGGAAGCGCACGTGCACAGCGCAACGCTTTTATGACGAAAACGACATGGGCGCTATATTTCGCAGTATATTTCTCAAGCCTACACGCAGACCCTACGTTTTACCACTTCGATTAGTGAGCTCAATCGATCGCCTTTCTCCAAACTAGCATTCAATCATTATAACCTTTAAAGTTCAAAACAAAAAACAAAAAAGAAAAAAACAGAAGAAATATACTGCATCGTTGCCGTATCCCGCAAATGAACTGCGGCTACGACCGAGGCACTTCATACTCTGCTGCACTGAGACTGCACACAATCAAACTAATCATGACATCAGAAGACATCGGCTTCACGAGACGTAGTGGTATCGCGTGCCGTGACGTCACGTCATAGTGCCACGCGACGGCACGCGACGTTTAGCTGAAACATTTCGCCGCCAATTTTAGCGAAGTGTTTTCCGCTAAATGTAGCTGAGAAATTTTCGAGCCACGCCGACCCCACGGGAAACACACCCGGGGATCCGCCGCAAAACATCGCCCCCAAAGAGTTGTAGTAGAGCGTTCCGACGCTTCCGATAACGATACTCCGCAGAGTACCCGCCGTCGTTATCGGAACGATAAACGAAAACGCCCCAGCAACGGCGGTGGCTGTGAAAACCGGCGATCGCGCCTGTTCACGCTAGAGTGCTTCGGCGTCGCACAGTGTAGTCGTGTGGCGCATGTAAGCAGAAAGCAAGTTCGTCTGCTTCTTTTGCAAGGTGGTGGTGACGTCAGAACGTCGAGCTCTGATTGGCTCCGACTGACGTCAATCAAAGCTCGACGTTCTGACGTCACCACCACCCCTGCAAAAGAAGCAGACGAATTAGCGCTCCGCATACACTGTGCGCCAACAAGTGCACAGTGTTTCGTGCGCCCCCGCGAGCAGAAGCGTGTCAATATGGCTGAACGAACCTGGCTTTGCGGCGAGCACAGCTTTCTCAGCTTCAGCCTTGGTTTTGCCGTACTTGTTCAGCGGGTTGGGCTCGTCTGCTTCTTGATAGGGGGGACTCCGGCCGTCGAACACGTAGTCGGTGCTGATGAAAATGAAGGCAGCTCCTTCTGCGTCTGGGAGGGGAGATTTGTTATCAATGCGTACCTGCATTCTGTTTGCCGGTGTATCTCCCGGCGGTTCACTCCGTGGTGTAGAGCAAAAACCATCTCTAACGTTCCGCGCAAATAACTGCCGTGAGTTCGTCCTAACTTCGATGATTCAAGGCCGATTTTGCGCGCAGAAATAGGATGAACAGGCTCGAAATGTAAGTGAGATGAATCGCATTCATATACTTTAGAAGCGGCATGCAGTTATTACTAAAAATAAAAGTCGCGTTGAACGAGAATAAAAAAAAAAAAAAAAGGAAAAGCGACAGGAAAGGTTAACGGGAGTCGGTTGGAACGCCGGAGCTTTCTCCCCACGGAGCCGGTCACGTGACCTCAAAATCCGTAATGATCCGCATCCATTTGCAGACGTACCGGCCAAAGTTGCTAGATTTTTGGACGCCGTCACGTTGAGCTCGTAGCTAGCGGCGTAGTCGTTCTCCACCTTGTCCGGGAACCGTTGGGCGGCTGAGTGGACGATCACGTTTGGCTGTGGCCGAAAAGAAAAACAATTACACCCGCAGATGCGTAGCACTGAAAGGAAAAGTCGACACCACTGGTCGCTAACGGTGTCAAATATATATATATATATATATATATACACTTTTTTCTTTTGCGCGCGCGCTGAGAAAATTGTTTTTGCGAAAAGTATGCATTATACGGAAAAAACGTCGATGTTTTATTTGCTGCCAAGGGGGTTTTCCTTGGCAGTGGCCAATGCATCAACTGTGCAGTGTGTGTGTGTGTGTGCGCGTGTGCGTGTGTGTGTGTGTGTGTGTGCGTGTGTTCTAAAAATGCCACCCCCCCCCCCCCCTTTTTTTTCTTTTTCGCACGCGGCTACATTGCAGCGAAGTGATATGTGGACAATCACAACTTCTACTCCGCGGGTGTCGCTTCGCCGCAGTGCACAGGCGCGCTGCAAGAAGCGCACTCAACGGAGCTAGCCAACTCGCCCGAACAGATAACTAGCAGTGCCATATAATAATCACTGTGTGCTGTCTGCTAGTATATTGGAACGAATGGAAAAGTGTAAACAAATGTGAAACTGAACCTAAACTTTCAGTGAGGCGAATCTTGCGTCGAAGACGGAAGCTTGACAATTCCGGAGAAGCACGTTACAGTTGGTACGTTCAGGACCGTTCTGTACTGGGTCACACGCTGGCAGTGAAGAACGAGCTGGCTTGCCAGAAGAACATTGACCGATAAAAGGAAGCAACCAGGCCGGGCGGGGTTCGAACCCCGCGTACGTTGGCAACGCCGCAACGCACGCGGCAATATTGCTTGTGTAAATAATATTAAAAAAAAAAAAGAAAAAAAATTATATCTTGCCCGTAAAGTAAAAAATGCAAGAAATATTTAAATTCGATATCTTCAAAATACGATTTAGCTGCTTTATTCGTGGTTTCTTATTTATTTTCTCCTGGTTTCAAATAGCTCCAAAAATAATTGGTTGGCCACGCTCTAGTAAACTTTACAAACACGACCAATAAATGCTAGAACGAGGTTTCTTTCTTCTTTTTTTTTTTTTTCATAAAAATAATGATTGCTATTTTCTCACTAGCTATCTCTCACCATATCACTAGCACGAGGTTTGGGCAAGGGGGGGGGGGGGGGGGGGGGGGGAGGGCACGATAAAGAAATTAATACATAATCAGTGGGCAGTTCGACGGATTTCATTACGTGGTAAATTAGGTTTATATTCGTTTTAATTTCACCTGCCTGCAATTTCTGAAAGGCAGGTTAATTAATTACGGAGTCCTCGTTGTCACCTATTTTCCCGAATAAACCTAACGACAAGTTTATTCGTGGTTCGACACCGGGTTTGCTTTAGTAGTTCGCTAGGAAAACAGAACACGTTCTTGCGTAATTTATAACACACACGGATCCAACTGTAAATAATTGCGCGCTATTTTGTATTTAATTAAGTTGTAACAATATTTTTTTTTTAATTTTTTTTTCGATTCGCACACCAGGGACCTAGACATTTTGCCAAATTAGCCAAGCAGCAAGGAGAATGTTGGGAACGACAGCTACACGCGCTTGCCCTATCTGTGTTAGAAATTCGAATGAAATAACCAAAATGAGGCGTTGACAAACGCACGTGCAAAATGCCTTTTTTTTTTTTTTTTTAGATAAAAAAGAAACTAGAACAGTTATTATTGCAGACGCGTTAGCACGCGCAGCGATTGTAACTACACCCACGGCATGCTTGGATAATTTAGCAAATATTGCATGAATCGTTTAAGGTTTCTCCGACTATTTTTCGGTCACCGCGCATCATAAGAATTCGCACAATACCTTATATTTCTGGACGATGCGTGCGGTGTCCTGCACGTCGGTCAAATCGGCCTTCACAAGCTGACCAGACACCCTGCTGTGCGCCAGCCCGACCACGGTCCACGACGCCGCCGCGTCAAAAGCCCTGACCAGCGATCGGCCGAGCAGTCCCGAAGCCCCCGTGATCAAAACGCTCTTCATATTTCCTGCAAAAGACCCAAACGTCGACAAATCACACTTCTCTAACGATTCGTCCCGTCCAAACTTCCCGGTTTTCTCACGCGTTGACCTCGAACCGCAACGTCATCGACAAAAAACGCAGCGTCTCCCTCGTTATTATTTTCAGCGAGAGACAAATTCGACTCGGTAAGCTTTCCAAAAAAAGAACTAGTACGTTTTACGCAGCCAAATCTGACAGAAGAGCCCACCTGTACCGAAACCTGAGTGCATTGTAGGCTGACGCGGCCGCTCCAGCCGCTCGCGGAGGAAAAACCGTAACAGGGCGAACAGGAAGTCGCCCGTGGCTGTTACATTTGGAGGAATTTCCGTTTTATGAAAGGAGGAAAAGAGGCCATGCGTCTTTCTCCCTCTTTCTCTCGCCATCCTTTGCGGGCGGCTGCTGTGTCAAATTTCGCCTCTAGCCAGACAGGATTTTGCCAGCCGATGGCTCCGAGGACTAAGGTCGTTCGTTCCTCGCAAAACATTCTCTCAAGATTATGATCAGTGCAACCCGCGGGGCGCGTCAGACGGGCGACGAGCGGTGCAACGGTCTCGACACTTCTCCGCGTCTCCAACATAGGCCGCGGCTCGCTCAGCTGTGAGTACGACCCCTCTGTTCTAAGCATGCACGCTCGTCACAAACGCCGCGTGCATTCCGTACGGTCAAACGAGTTTCTACAAGCTCGCGGACGGTGTGGCCGAGTGACGACGGTTCGAAGTTCGATCCCCCTTTGTTTAGAGAACCGCATTTGTTTGTTGTTGTGCACTGTTGCGAGGCGCGGGCAGGTGTGTAAATATAACGCGCCAGTCCCAGAACTAGGCTAATAACGTTTGGCTGGAACCGTCACGGCGGCATCGTGACATCACCGACGTTTCCGTCGGTTCTTGGACGAAAGTCAGGAATAGTTCGTCGCGTTGTTAGTTTTTTCTCTCTTTTTTTTCTTTCTTCTTAACTTCTAAACTATTTCCTTGTGGCTACGAGAGACACGGAACTTGACTCCGTGGAGTTGAGGACTTACAGATTTTCCGTGGTTCGAAGACGATCCTGTCACTTTTGTGAGTCGAATGTCCCCACTACCGCTTCCCGGCTTTTATGTGTGATCGGGTTTATCAGACCCACGTGGTTTGACGGTCGTAGCATCGCCAGACAGCAAACGTAACTTGCAAAAAAAAAAAAAATAAAAGAGACAAAAAAAAAAGTAAGTAAATACGGTGTTGAGGTGGGTTGTACATAGAAAAACCGAGAAGACGCCCATGGGTGTTTTCGCAGGATAGTTTGGACAGGGACGATCTGCGGGGCGTTTTCCTACATTGCGAGCCTTTTTTGTTCTTTTGTGATTATGCTAATTTCTTAATCGCTCAGTGCCACGAAGTTGTTCTACTAGAAGCGCTCTTGTGCGCGATGCATGTCGTGGATTTAAATGAGAACAGGCAATCAAATATGCGTTGCTAGCTTTTTTTTTTTTTCGTTATAATTCTGGTGCATCGATTGGGAGCTTCATTGTTGTTCTCGTGTAGTGATAGGAAATAGCTGTGAGCGTGCAGTTTATACGCTGGGTTTCTTTTTTTTGTTTTTTATCATCTGTCAGTGAAGGACAATTTTGGCAACCTGAAATAAAAATTGTCAAAACATATATATTGTTTGAGCAGTGCCAATGGACACAGTCATAGCAGTCAGCAAAAGCCACCAATTCTATGTACCTCTGTAATGTTGACCAACTCACATGCTCTCAAATTGGCCTGTAAATGTTGAGTTATGCTGAAAACTAAACACCACTGCTGAACACATTATTGTAGTTTCAATTGTATGAGCCATGAGATCACTTGAGGTGTCGTTCCGATTTTTTGTCAACTTCCAGCCCCAAAAACACTACAAAGTGGAAGTTAAGATTGTTAGACTTTCTCAGGGGTTTTGGAAAGTTTTATGGTCAAACCGTTGGTGGCTGTTCAGCATTAATCCTGAGTATTTATTTTCTTGTACTCAAGATACTGTCTTCTAGTCTTTCCATGCTCTTCTTCTTGCCCATGAACGCAGCCTATGCAGAGAGCAAGTCGTCTGCTTCTTGTGAAGGAGTTGCGGTAACGTCAGAACGACGCAGAGCTCTGATTGGCTTTCATTGAAACGATAGTGGGTAGACCTCACTGCTAGGTGCCTTAAGGTCTACACACAATTTTTTTTTTTTTTTTCAACCAGCCGATAAGAGCTTGGCATTCTGACATCATCACAACCCCTGTGCAAGAAGCAGACAAACTTTTGCTCCGCATTTCAGAGTTTCAAAGGCCTCATTCTCAGAAATTGGAGATATCATTTTCCATAGCCACTGCTTCATAATGACAGAGTGGTCAATCAGTAGCTTGCCACTAACTTGAGCCAGCCACTTTTCATATAAGACCAGTTTGCATATACATCGCAGCGATAAAGGAAGACTATGAACCGCTCTGGTGCAGCGCTGATTTCAATGTAACTTAGCACTGATGCAGTGCTGATCAGCACCCTACTGCTAATATATAGAGCCCTGCACGGGTAACAGTTTAATCATTCACATCCGATCTGCATCCACAGACTTCATAACTGCATCTCAACCGCATAATTGTATCTGACCCACATCCGCAGACTTTGTATCCGCATCCGAACCGCATCCGCAAAATTCGGAATTGCGTCCGAACCTCAATCCACGCATTCACTTTAAATCATAAAATCAAGCATGAATAAAAATTAAAAAGAGCATCTGGACGGTATCATATAAGCCGTCAGCTTAGCTTTGTACAAAAAAACTCGTGTCAGAATACAATGAAAGTCATTTTATTGTATTTTGTTTTTTCGTATTTATATAATAAGCTGCCACCTTTCCATAGACACTTTGCATTCCTGGAAAGATGATTGCAGTTATGAGGTCGTCTTGCGAGTCTGTGACACTGACACTTTTCCCAGAAGATGCGCTCAAAAGGAAATAAATTTTTATATTTATTTTCCTTTTTGCATTGTAAAACTCACATCAAGCAGACACATATTTTATGAACATGAAAATTAACAAAGGACAGACTAATAACATTGTGTTATAGTATTTAGGCCAAACAATAAAAATGTGGAAGAGGAAAGGCGCTCACTCACCGCAGCAAAGTGCTTGCGTATGTGTGGCAAGGGGCGAGTACACGACTGGAAAAATATCACAGTGTTCAATAATGGCAACACCTCCTATTGTTTTCAGTTTAATCATGAACCCTCAACTGCATGCTCGGAACCATATACTTAAAAACAACTCACTACCAACTGTCGAGAAAAAGAAAACACACACACACGCAACATTTCACTTGTCGAGGTTGCTGTGTAGAAGAAACAGAATATCGTCAACATGAACAAATTCAGACTGGTTCACCTCTCTTAAATTAATACCTGCTAATAAAAAGTCTCTTCCGTTGGTGCACTTGATGCTGGGACGGCATGCACGAACTGCGCTGCGAGAATGAGGTGCGAAAACTCATGCTGGCACAAGTTCCACCACTTTAGATGATCGGAATCAGTCTCCTCGATCTACTTGTAGGTAAACAAGCCACTTGCAGGCTTCTTCTACTTTTTTGTGGCTTGTACGTTTTCGGTTTTCTTGGCCCAAAAGCATTTTCCACTCTTTCCCTGCCAAACAAGAACAGGCTTTCCCGGGACGACTGATACTCCTGCATTCTTTAATTTTTCTGGGGACAGCATTTTTGGTGAGATAGAATGTTCTAGAGCGATCCTTGGTGAGAATCAAATTTTTCTTGACATAACAGTTTTTTCATCGATTGACACCTTTTATCTAATACATTCGATGATGTACTTCATAGTATCACTTACTTATTCACTCTACACTGAACGATTGCACGTGTTCATGGGCTGCCTCGTCAAAAATGTACATCTGAACCCGCAGATATCCGCATCCGCAGCCCCTGGCATCCGCATCCGATCCGCAATCCGCCAAATTTGCTTCATTTTTATTAGTATCCGCCAGTCTATGGCGGATATCCACGGATATGCAGGGCTCTACTAATATAGTATGAAGTCAGAGTTCCATCAGCAAGGGTGGTGTGTCTGTGAACAGGCCTATAATGTCTCGACTGTGCGTGCGGGACCAAATCTCCAAATACGACCAAGTGTCGTCAAAGGTTTCCCTACTTGTTGAATAGCTCGGACATTACAGTGGCGTTCCAAGGCTGTCGTTGTGCCCAGGGGCGGATTTAGAGGGGGGGGCCTGGATGTCCTCCTCCCCCCCCCCCCTTCCACATATATAAAATTTAGGGCGTGAAACAAGGGAGAGGGGGAGGGGTTTCATAAACATATGGTATGCTGACCAACACCTGACCCCCTCCCCCCCCTCAGGAAATTCCTGCATCTGCCCCTGGTCGTGCCCAGCATCGGTAACGCTACCACATTGAAAATCTTGCAGGCCGTCTCTTCTGCTGGGATGACAAGATGGCAGCGACGGACGAAAAGTCTGTGCTCGAGGCCCTCATGCTAAAGCGTTCTCAGAGTGCCACCCGCCTCAAGTCCGTCAGCTACAAGCCCCGGTGGTTTGTGCTCACCAAGGCTTCTCTGCGATACCACGACGGCAACTCGGATGCAAGTTCTTTTTCCTGTCGTGTCATCACCTCACATCGGCTTACTTAGCTAGCAGACGAGAGATTGTTTCTTGCTACCAGCTTCCGACATCCAAATCACACTCTCTGAATTTCATTATGCCAAGTGTACAACAATTATATTTATAGCCATCTGCATCTCTGGAGTACTTTCCAAACTCGTTAGCTTGATGTTGGTATTTTGGGCTATACACCATTCACCCCTTAGCTGACAGTGTGGTGGAAGTTGCTTGCCCTTTGAACCGGTCGCACGTCTATTTTTTGCCGTGTGATGATGCTCTTGTCTGTACCCGTGTGCAGAGGGCAGGGTCAGGTAATGAAAGAGAGGATGTTGATTGGTCCGGGGAAGACGTAGCTCCCGCCGCACTGCCTACTTGGGGGCTGCCGGGGTATAGTAAGATGAGTACAAAACATGCGCCGACCATATATAGCTCATTCTAGTGGTCCACAGATCTGTTCTATTTCACACTAACTTCTCTTAGAAATGCCTCATTGCGTACTGCCCATTGTGTACTTCACTGTCAATGTTAACTGCCTGTAAAGCAAATTTCCTCGTCCAGCTTGCAGTCTTTTTGTTTCCGCTGTGCGTTGACTTCTTGGAATTTGGAGAATAAACGTTGCGTGTTAGAGTTTTGTATAATTTCGGAAGTATATAGTTTCTGACGAAATAAGTTGTTTTGGTTTGCAATGGTTTTTGTTTTCGCCGCAGGGTAAAGAAAAGGGTCGTCTTGATCTGCGCACTGTTAGGTTGGTTGAACACATCGAGGACGGCTCACTCGAGAGGGACAAGGCATTTCAGGTGAGTGGTTAGTGTAAAATTGTTTATGATCTGTCATGGAGCAAGTGGCATAGCTCTGATCCTATAGTGTAAATACATTTGTTGATGTTACGGGTCACTTTCATAACCTTTTGTGGTCCTTACAGAGGGGAGAGTCAAAATATGCAATTGAATTAACCTTAACTGATAGAACAGAAGGAATGTTACGAAGTTGCCAAGAGTAAAAAATTTTTGGCAGTGCCAGGATTCAAACCCTAGATCAAATATGCTAGCCACTTCATAAAAAAAAAAATGTTTTATTGCATTGCAATACATCATTTTGTCTCTTGGCATTCCCTATATGGCTTATGAATACACTCAAATGGACTGCATCCAACCAGAAACATATGAAATGCTTTATGTGAGTGAAATGTAAAAAAAGACATTCATCATCTTGCATAGTGACTATGCTGATCAGTGTCGGCTTGCAATAGCTGAACACAGTCACCCGGTTTCCACTGCCCTATCGAGCCAATCATTGTTCCTTGCATCATTTGCTTTAGTGGAAAACAGTTGAGGCTGGATTTGAAGCCTAAAACAGAAACATTCAGGATGAGTTGATTGAACTGCCAGTGCCTGCTGTTGTTTTGCCTGTTATTCAGTGAGGTTTAAAATTTTAGTGAAAAGTTTCACTATGAGTAGGGTGACCATAATCTCCACTGCTGTAAACGGGACATGGGGCAGGGGTGGATGGGGCAGAAGGATTGTTACGAATCAGTTCAGCGTAAAAAGGCGCATTTTCTGGATATCGTCGAGAACAATAGTGCCTTCCCACTTTCAAAGACTGCATGGAAAAGAAATGTTGGCAACCAAAACATGCCAGATTTGGTAATGTAGAAAAATTCTTTTGTACATATGTCTATGCAATGAAGAATTCATAAAATGTTTGCGGATGGAATCGCAGAAAGAGCTTTACGATAGCTAACGTTTTGATTTACTTTGTTTCACCTGAAGTATGGGTGCTGCCAGCGCTACAAGGTGGGTGGGACCAGTCAAATAGCGTCAGACTCAGGACTCAGGTCGCTGGGCCATCCCTGTACATGAATGATTCAGCGAAGATGAAACATATACAGAAACGGTGACAAATGCCATGATGGTGCACTTTTGATGCCGTCTGATTGGTCCCATCAGCTTGTAGCATTGACTGCGTCCGGACTTATTAAAACACTGAAAAGGGAAAAAATTTTTTTTTTTTTTTCAAACTATTTGGAAAAATTACGAACATTACAAAATAAATTTTCCGCAAGAAAGATTTTTTTTTTTTTTTTTGTAAAATTATTTACAGCGCTAACCTTGTTTTAGTTTACCTCTTTCAAACGCGCGTGCCAGAAATGGGTACGTAACGTCATGACATGTGCACGCCAAGGGCAGCGTTCTCATTGGCTACCTTTCCTCCCTTGGCCTCTCCGGCGAGTGATTTCGCTACACGAAGGAAAGGTAAGGGGAGGATGAGAATGCCATGTAACATGCAGTGATGTGGTGGTGATGTTATGTACCTATTTATGGCTTGCGCAATTGAAAGCGGTATACAGGCGGAACAGCGCACCCGCAGAACAGTCATTCAAATCAACATACACACAAAAGAAAGAAACACTTACTCAGCGCTGAGTAAGTGTTTCTTTCTTTTGTGTGTATGTTGATTTGAATGACTGTTCTGCGGGTGCGCTGTTCCCCCTGTACATCATGAGCAACCAGCTCGCCCGAACCTCTGTGTTGAAAGCGGTAGACTAAAACAAGTGTAGCGCCGTAAATATTTTTTTTAATATTATTTTTACTAAAAAAGTTTTTTGTAATGTTTTTTCAACTTTTTTAGGCTGTTCAAGATTTTTTTTTTTTTCAGTGTTTTTAAGGTGAAACTTAGTATATAGTATGTCTTTTTAAAATAAAATTTCAGCTGTGACGGTACATTCTCACGAAAATGGGACCTGAGGCTTTTCTCAGCAAATACGACGAGACGGCAGAAGTGAACCTCTAAAACGGGACGTCTAGTCACTCTAACTACGAATAAATCAAGAACAAAAGTAAAGAGTTATTGTGAGATTTGTTTTTGGCTGTATTAGGCATTACACTCCGTTTCAAAACAACTTAGCAAACGGTGAAAGCTACAGCTCCAGTGAGCCAATCGGAGTGTTGGAGCGAGACACGTGACAAGATGTCCCTGAAGTGGTCTCCTTTTCTGGAGAGCAGTGACACACGCTTCGCTTCGTCGCTCCGATTGGACAGTTCGGGTCGTCGTCATCTGTGTGTGCACATTTCATTTTGCCCATTGTCGATTGCTAACTGCTTGCTTCTCTCACAGATCGGCTACAAGGATCGGCTGATGTATATAGTGGCGTCTTCCGAAGTGCAGAGAGAGGAGTGGATCGGTGCCCTCAGGAAATGCGAGTTTCATCATTTTATAACTAATTCAAGCGTTCGTTAAAGTACTACAGTCGAATCTCGTTAATTCAAACTTACGGATAATTCAAACTAACATGCAGGTCCCATCCTATGTGTCCCCATGGGAGGAAACTCCCGGTAGTTCGAACTTTGTTTTATCCAAACAAATTTTCGGTCCCCCTCGAGGATGAATTAACGAGATTCGACTGTACGACGACTTTGGTGACAGAAATGCGAACGTGCCACAAACGCATCTACATTCCTGGCCCTATTTTGCAATTTGTTGAAAGACCTTCGAAATGCCCTAAAAAGAAGTAATTTTTTTTTTTTTTGTGCAGAATACATAAATATTGTGCAAAAACAAAAGACCATTTCACTTTTGACTGTAGAGTTACTTAATTTGTTGGTGAAACCAGACGAATTAGGACCGTAACCGGGAGATCGGCGCAGAGTAACAAAGTTCTGGGCCTCCCGGAGTCACGGGTTGTATTCACTCCGCGAGACTACACGCGCTAAATATTAGGAAACCAACATGTTTTTGGAACCATTTTGTTCTTAACCCGAGACTGAGGCAGGAAAAGAGGAAAGTTTCAAAGTAGAAGAAAAATGAAGTCGAAAAACAAAATGGTTAACATCCACCAGCTTGTCTGCGCATTCACTACGTTATCATGTTTTTGGAGTTTCCTTTACCATAAAAATTATGTTCTATGAATTTATCTATATATCAATGTATATGCGCCCCGGACAGCTTATGACTTCTGAAATGTGTAGTGCTTGACATCTTGTCACACTTTTTTTAATTTTTTTTATTTATGAATATACTGTTGACCCAGAATTGGGTCGCTACAGGGGTGATTGTAACAAAACCTTACAAAATACCAACATATGATGAAATATACTCTTCAATCAAACATAAAAATTGATAACAGTTACAGTGCAGCAATAGCAACAGAAGGTAAAAAGAGCAATATGCAGATGGCTTAGGAAAATGTTACCGTTGAGTTTAATTACAAAAAACTAAGCTTCTACAGTTGCCACAAAAACAATACATCAACTCATACATAAAACATTATAATACCATAATCTAACAAACAAGGCATCAGCACTAACTCAGTGATATGATCGAAATAACAGTTCAGCATACTAAGATGTTAAGACTCTGTAGACAGGTTGAGCAAAATATTCATAAAACCATCAATGCTATCACATTCAAATGCTCTGTGGGAGGTTGTTCCAGTCCAGAAATGTTCTGGGAAAGAATGAGTACAGGAAAGTGCAATTCTTAACCCTTTCTACAACAAGTTGCACGGCGTGGCCTTTCCCAAGTGTTCTAGATTGGCGGGGGGATAAGAACTTGAGAGGATTGATGTTAAACAAGTTCTTTTTAAGCATAAAAAGAAACTTTAATCTTGCAGTTTTCCACCGGCAAGAGAGGAGTGGCAGATTGAGATCATCCAGCATACTTTTAAAGGACTTAGCTAACATGAACCTCACTGTCAATCTTTGAACTTTTTTTGTTTTATCAATTTTGTATTGTCTAAACAGTTTCCAAACAATTAAAGCATATTCCAAGGTCAGCTTTATTAAAGTTTTATATGCTAAGGAAAAGCTCAATCGGCGGGTTTTTTTTGCAAAACAAAAGTGGGTCTCGGAGAAATGCTCAAAAGTGCAGGCGAGCCGGTGTACATATTGGACAACGCTGTAAACCTGGAGATAGGGGAGACACAGTCTGTTCCTTTTCCTCCGCCTTGCTTACTGTTTTTCCGCTTTTCCACCCCGTTCTCGTTGTTTACCGGCACGTCCAGATTTTTAGTAGCAAGTGCATCCTTCTTGGGTTTAGGGGTCGTGCTTCCTTAAAAAGTCGAGGCACACACAAACGCCCCGTAGAAGGCTCTTTACGACACGGCTCCAAGTTGCCAACCTTACAACCTTGGATTGACGCGTTGCCTTTTCTGGCCGTTGCAGTGTGCGTAAACAACGAGCAGTTGGCAGACAAGTTCCACTCCGGGGCATGGTCGGGGGGCCGCTGGGGCTGCTGCGGCAGGGGTCCCCGCCTGGCCCCCGGCTGTAGGAGCACCTGGGTCACTAGCCCTCTCAGCTCGGAGTCCTCCCTTCCACGTGGTAAGACCCGCCATCTCCGCGCACGTGTGGCACCCGCCTTGTGATGCTGCAACGCTGGGGGGGACAGTCTTAAAAGGACTCGACAGGGTATTTATGCTCGCCGAGGTTTTTATTTGTACGTTGCATATGAGGGAGCCCAACTACTCGGAACACGATTTGTGGATTGAAATTCGTTTTCTTTCAGCCCGAATACCGCCGGTTGGGAACTGTCCACTTTGAGTCGTACTCACTCTCTTCTTTGTGGTCACGTGACCGTTCTCTATGGTTTAGGCACACACATCAACTATAATCAGTCGTGGGGCATCGACAGCACAGACTCGGTATTAAAAACAAAAAAAAATATGGCTCCCATTTTTTGTGGCTTTTAAAAAACTGCAAATATGTTGATTAAAAAAAAAAAAAAGAAGCTGCACGGAGAATCAAAAGCCTTCTGTGTATTCTCTGCACGATTCTCAACATGGTGTCGTATCGTGGGAGTCGCGAGCTGGACAACTCAACGAAGCAAACTAAGCGATGGCAGCAAATGAGGACATCGCAAAACTCTAAATAAATCTTGCAATAAAAGCATGGGGCCTGTGCTTCAGAACTATTGCTCGAGGGTACTGGTGAATCTGTCTTGCTTCGAAAGAAATTTTTTACTGATTGAAACAATTAGGATTTATTCCGTACAACACGCCCGGCCTCCCAGCTGATTTGCACGAAGACGTCGTTGAGTCGTCGCTCCTTCTCCTGGCCTAAGGCATTGCTCGTCTTATGACCACTAATTAGTGAGAGCTTGAAAAACGCACAAACATTGAGCACAAAGTGCTTGACTATTGTGCTTTTTCGTGCAACGGCGACGTGTGTGTTTTTTGTCTGCTTTGCACAGCAGGAAAAAAAACAAAGGAAAAAAGAAATGTGGTCGGGTTATGTTACGTGACTTTTTGCATTTTTCTCCTCTACATTTCTTCTTCCTCCCCAGTGTAGTTTAGGTTTTGAGCAGTTGCGTTTTAGAGCGCAGCTCTTAGGGGCCCGTTTCCAGCCTGAGCGGCGTCGCCGTTGGCGTCGGCGTCGCCGTTGGCGTCGGCGTCGCCGTCGCCGTCGGCGTCGGCGTAACCGCGCCCCTCCCTCTCCTCCTCCTCCCTCTCCTTCTCCCCCTCCTCCTCCCCTCCTCCTCCTCCCCCTTCTCCTCCTCCCCCTCCTTCTCCTCCTCCTCCCCTCATTGTCCGGCTTGAGCGGCAAGGAGGAAAGCAGTACGAAGGTGGAGGAGGGTGGGAGGAGAGACGAGGAGGCGAGGGGAGGGGAGGAGCTTGAAGGACGAGGAGGTGGTAAAGGAGGGGGAGGGGGAGCAGGAGGGGAGGAGGACTAGCAGGCATGATCACGAGGGAGGAGGAGGAATATACCCTCCACTCCTCCTCCTCAAGAGCTGCGCTCCAATTCGGCGTTACAGGAAGTTGTAAACGGCTTTCACTTTTTTTTACTTTAATTAAAAAGTATGTGACACTGAAGAAAAATATTAACTGAGGAGTCTTGTTACACTATAACGAATCACATGGCAAAAAATAAAAAAAACAAGCTTTCTTGGGGGATGTCAGCATCCCTTTAAAAACCAGTGTGCAACCTCGGATTCCTACTCTCTCCCCCCTTTCAAAAAAAAAAAAACGTAGCGCAATATTTAAGTTGCACGACTGATTTTGAGTGAAGAGTGATTCCGAGACATGCTACTCTTTCGGCATGTCACCCCGAAATGGGAGGGCATCGCAAAGCTCTAAATAAATCTTGCAATAAAAACACTGTGCTAAAAAGAAAAAGAAAAGAATGTATTGAGAAAGCCGATTTTGTGACGTGTGTTTCCTATCCTAACTCTACATCAACCCATCATCATCGTCATCATTCATACAATTCATTTGTACTGTACCATTTCATCATCATTAGAAGCGGTGCCGCAGGCCTTCAAAGTATGGGTGATTTGCCTTTCTGCGGCAGCGCTGCTTTCCTGAGCTAAACTAAACATATTTATTTATTTATTTATTTATTTATTTATTTAAGTACCCTCAAGGCCCTGGGGCATTACAGAGGGGAGTGGTACAAGACAAATTTGGAACACAAACAATATACAAACAATAAAAACCAAGCACGAAAAATGTTAAAAAAAAAAAAAATGTGCAAACAAATTAAGAAATGTATAAAACAAGGCAAACAAACAAAGAGAAATATTAACATAGGTAAGTAGTCAACACACTTTTAAACAAGTCAAAGGATGGTATGTTTACTAATTGTGCGGGAAGGCGATTCCACTCTGAAGATGTCCTTGGAATAAAAGAGTTATAATAGGCTGAGGTAATGCAATGAGGAATTCCGACTTTAAATTGATGATCTACGCGCGGCGAGATGAAAACAGGATTTAACATTAGTTTGTTTTTTAGCGAAGTATTGGAATGATAAATTTTATAAAAAAGACACAAACGAGATATTTTTCGGCGTAATGAAAGAGCAGGAGGTGATAAATTAGTTTTCATAGTTGAGACACTAGATGTGCGATGATAGTTAGTAAATATAAAACGGGCACCGCGATTCTGTAGGGCATTGTATTGTATCGTATCTTAAGAAAAACTTTTGTTAAGAGTTCGCTTTCCCTTTAATAGAGGCGGCAAGACTGCCCGTACCTATGAGCAAAGTGGAAATTTGGGCCAGTTGGTTCATGGTCAGAATATGAAGCGTCAAAATAAAACGACAGGACGAAGAGGAGAGTAAAAAAAGTGCCTCGTCTTGTTTACTCTCCTCTTTGTCCTGTCGTTTTATTTTGACGCTTTATATTCATACCTATGAGTTTCGTTTTAGAATAAAGAAATGTGATTTCCAAGAAGTTACACACCTTACAAGAGTGATTTTCGGCCTCTAGCACTTCGGCCGTCTTTTTAATGCGAAAGCATTACCTGCTTGTCCCACGGAGCAAACCAGCGTTATTGGCTCCCTTGCCTGGCACTCCCCTTGCCTGACACGCGCCCTATTTTCAAGGAACGCCACTCCATGGCGCTGCGGGCCCCCGCCCCGGTAAAAGGAACACCGTGGCATGCGCTCGGCCGATTCTGCTCCTCTGGGCACCGACGAACATGGTGCCGCCTCAAGCATCTACAGTCAAACGCCTCTACAACGAACGCTTCTACTACGAAATAGCCTGTACAACGGGCTATTTCATTGCTTATCTGCTTTATTGGGTTCATTAAAGTGCGCGACGGATATAACGAAGTGACATGTATAACGAAGAATTATCGCGGTCCCACACGCTTCGTTATACAGGTGTTTAAATACATCGTCGGCGGCCACAAATTTCCGTGGTACACTCCGCAGCGTTCACTTGGACATTCATGCTTTCGCATTCACAGCTCATAAGAAGTGCTTAGGTATCCTCGGATTTTTTGGCTAGACACCAGAAAATCAAGGGAGAGGAAGAAAGACAAAACTTGTATACCAATTCGACAAACTCATAACGTCACTGATCGTCTCTGAGGTGTCGGAACGATTTCCGAGGCGAGTTGGCGGTTTTCTGGAGGAATTTTCGCTTCCTTAGGTTCACATTGTGGCGTATCCTGGTGCCGCGTGGTAATTTTCTTTGCGGTTCTCACTCTGTGTTATGCAGAGAAGGAAAAGCCGAGGAAAGGTTTCGAACCTTCTCTTCTTTCCAGGCTCTCAACTCTGCATTTTTCATATTTTTCCAGGTTCTATTTCGTGTGAGCCAGTTCCCACAAGGACAAAGGAGGTTCCATTAGTAAGTCTGTTGCCTTGGGAATGATTTTTGCTTAGTGCATATTCTGGTCCAAGCATGGAAAAAAAACGATCTCCCAAATCTCAGTAATTTTTTTTTTTTTTTTCGATTTAAAATTAGTTTGACGTGCGCTGAGCAAGTGCTACAGATTTTAACACACTATAAACTTTGTTGGAACACGGTAAAGTTGAACACGGTAAAGAGCATAAAATAATGTACAGCTATACTGGGACTTAAAGTTGAACAAGAAATAGTTACCAAAAATAATGATTCTTCACCTTTCCTGGCCTTTTAAGGACAGTGTTCTTTGCTTGACGTTGCATTGCAGGTGACCACCCCTGCTCGAGTGGTGACCGCGCTTTACTCATTCCAAGCCATCGAGAAGGGAGACCTGTCCTTGGAAGCCGTGAGTTTGCACTTGTGCCCAAAAATATTTGAGCAGTCCTCAATTGACCCTTTCAAATGCTACGTACACAGATTTGTACATCTGAAACCCTCACTTTTTTTTTTTTTTCAGAAATATATTTTGTATATTGAGTCATTTTAGAAATTTTAATGGGATTCATATAGTCCATGTTCTGGCAACCAAAGTTTGCAAAAAACATTTCAGCGAAAATTTGTTTGCGGACAAAATGTTTTCCACGATAAAGGGCGAGTGCTATCTGAAATTGTTTAGGGATTCGTCTGGTGGGGCACAACATGTGGCATATCCTGCAGGGTCGGGAGTATGTGGTCTTGGACGATTCCGGAGAGCACTGGTGGCAAGTCAGGGATGGAAGCGGGTAAGTGCGTCTTGTGTACTTCGCTGCTGCTTGCGCTTGTGGTCTGGTGCCCTTTTCCCTCTGACCCTTTCCAAATTTCTCTCTCCTTCCTCTTCTCTGAAGCATGCAAAGTGTGGCGCGTAAGTCTCCCTTCTTTGCTTAGCTGCAGCCACGAGGTTTAGTAGTCGGTAGTTGTACTATAGAGTAGTTGTTTTGTCCGCCACCTCAAAACACCGCTTTGCACTGACTTCTCGGAGAAGCAACTGACTTGGGAGAGCTTTTCAGTTAACTTGGCAAGCTCTGAAGTTTGTTGGGGTGGGCTTGACATGGCCCTTTGCCTTTACTATTTCAAATGTTTTAAATTAGATGGGGCGCTCGTTGGAACGCGGTTGAATGCTGGGCATGATACGGTGTGTTTGGAAATTGGTGCGCATTTGAACTACAGGGCTTGGTTGCTGAATGCTGTGTCCTTGCAGGGCCGTTGGCTTCATCCCGAGCAACTACGTGGAGCAGAAAGCGGGCCTCTGGCAACACGAGTGAGTCCTCAAAGTCACGTTGTAAGCGGTTGCTCAGCTAGGCACATAGTAGTTTCTCCAGTAACGCCACGGGTTTGACAGGCACGACATGCTTCCTCAGCATTACCCAAACTAACTCGTCCGTGCGAAATGTTGCTCTCTAGCACACTCCTGACATTCTGCTCGGAAGTGTCTCTTGCCAAAGGTTTAGACAACTCTGGCCTAACCGTTATGAAATATGTGGTCTTAAAAGTATTTTGCTGTGCAATTGGTGATGCAACTCTTCACCCTTGCAGCATTGCAGGTGTTAAAGAGAGGCAGCTCTTGCTGCAGAAGCAAAGCCTGCTTGTTTTGGAGCCACGGGTAACCTTTACAGCAACATTAACTTAGTCAAATCAGTGCCCCCCCCACCACCCACCCAACCCACCCCACCCCACCCCCCGAAAGGCTCGTCTCCTGTCTTTTGAAGTGCCGCGATTTGGGAGACGGCTGTTATGGGAGCTTACAGTGTCCTTCATAGAATGTAAAAGGTTTGAAGCACAGCGTCAGGGTGGCGCTACTGCTCTAAAGTATACGGTTTTGGAGGGCTGTTTCTAGATGGCACTTCAGTCAACAGGTGGTTTCCATGGGTGGAAGAGGGGGGGGGGCATTTTGCAGCGTTAGTTCTCCAATTGAGTTGATCTAGCAAGGTTGCTTTTTAACCAGATTGCACGTATGCTCGTGGAGATGCCACAACCTTTTTCGCCCACTGCAACATTGCACTTAACGAGAGCTGGCTTTGCAGGTGGTACGCGGGCGACATGTCCCGGCAGCGAGCCGAACAGGTGCTTCGCCAGGAGACCAAGGAGGGAGCCTTCGTGGTCCGAAACTCCTCCACCCAAGGTTTCTTCACCTTGTCTCTGCTGGCCAACAGGTATGAATCCCTTGTGTTTATTATCAAACTGCATAGTTTGATGATAAACATGATCTGATGTAGTCTGATGATATGCAGCACATACTCCCGATACGCACTACATAGTCTGATGATACATAGCACATACTTACTTTTGATACATACTACGTAGTCTGATGATACGTAGCACATATGTACTCCCGATACATACTGTGTAGTCTGATGAAACGTAATATCATCAGACTATGGAGCACACCGGCTATTCTTAAAAGACTTATGCAAAGGAGAAAAGTTATTTTTTCAAACAGTCCTAAAAAATTAACTTACAAATGACACCCCCCCCCCCGAGGTCACGTGACCCCCTGAGGCCATGTGACCCACCATGAGGCCACGTAACCCCCCTGATGTCGCGTGACCCCCCCCCCCCCCCCTCCTTCCAAGGTCACGTGACCCCCCTCCGCCGAGGTCACGTGAACCCCCTGACGTCACACGACCCCCTCCGAGGTCACATGACCTCAAGGAGTCACCTATCCCCCAGTACGCTTCCATCCTCCTCTTCAAGAGCTGCTCTCTTACCGGCGTTACAGGGAATTGTAAACTGCTCTCATTTTATTATTTCATTAAATGTTTATTAAAAAATTTTTTATTAAAATTAAAATTAATATTAATAAAATTAGTTTACAACAAAATTTTGTTTTTGTTTTTTAGAGCTATAATTACGGCGCGAAACAAATTTGTAGTTGGTGCCCGCAGGAGCCCGTGGAAAAGGGGCTGCTAGAGTCACGTGACTGGCTGCTATAGTCATAGGGTGCTTGCGCTCTTTGGGGAGCTTCCTATGGGCTCTGAAAGTTACCTATTAATTTTCGTTTTTTTGTTGCACTTAAAGCGAAGATTAGTAAGTAACTATTAGAGCCCATAGGAAGCTCCCAAAAGAGTGCAAGCACACATGATAGACCTGCGCACCAGTCAGAAATTGACGGCGGCGGCTGCCATGCCAGAGTGTTCTCTTCTGGCGGCGCGCGACGCTGAGCATGTGGCGGCGGTGGCACAGCATGGCGGTGCACAGGTCTGCCACATGACTAGTCGTGGCTCCCGCAGGTGTCAACTACAAATTCGTTTCGCGCCGTAAATATAGCTCTAAAATTTTTTTTTTTCTGTAAATTTAATATTTGATTACTTCTTCCCATACTGGCTGTTTAAAAAACAATGTATATAGTTCCTTTGCCTATGTCTTTTAAGGCCTGTTCGCACACTTGCCAGCCCGCTGGTACCATCAATGCGGTGACCTTTGAAGTTAATTTCACTAAAGCGAAGGTTATGCGGCATTTGCGAGATCGAACATATGTACGACCTACAAGAATTGCTTGTTTATAACATTGGCAAAAGTGTTTCAAGTCAAAAAAGAAAGAATGATCTGCAAAAAATATGGGAAGTATATGAAACCACCAAGCACTCCTTGGCTAGCCGATAGGTGGCGTTAGTGTCTTCTCGCATCGTAATAGATTTGAAAAGGTGATGAAGCACACGGTCCTGAGCAGTTGCAAGTGTGTGAGCGGGCCTTTAGGATCGACTACACCTGGTCTTTTCGACGGCTCGTTCATGTGTGCCTCGTACGAAGCCTTGCTTTGGGTTCTGCAAATCTCGCAAGCTTAGATGGAACCCCTGAAACAGGAAGAGGTCGGATTTGACGCATAGTTGTTGACTCTTTGCCCAGGCAGACACAGTTGGGGCAGGTCAAAACTATGTATAACATTGTTTGGCATCGGCGTTGCAGCAATCGACATTTCGCAACAATGCCAACGTTGCCATTGTGTACCAACGTTTCACGCTTCCAAACAACATCAAGTTTGCATCATTACCTGCGCAACGTTGACGCGTAGGGTGCGGCATTACTCGCGCAACATCGATGCATAGGGTACAGGCAGGAGGTACACCGCATGTCCAGAGATCCTCTGCAGTACTGCCAGACATGCATTCCGGATGTCTTTTCTTCTGCAGTCCGACGGGCGTGTTCCAAGTGAAGCACTATCACATCAAGAGCCGGAGCCCCGGCCAGCTGTACCTGTCCGAGCGCCGAACATTTGCCACGTTGGAGGAGCTCGTGCGGTACCACCGCCACGACAGCGGCGGCCTCGCCACTAGGCTTCGTCACTGGCCCACTCGTTTGCGGAGGACCGCACCGACCGCGGGGCTCGGGCACGGTAAGGGACCTGCTTCTTTGCTTCACATTCTGCACCATTATGACAGTCCCAAAAGATGCCCCCTCCACCCAGTCTTGGGTAGTAATGCGTTACTGTAACTCCGTTACTTTTTTGGTAACTTGTAACTGTAACGAGTTACTTTTTAAAAATTTAACTCGTAACTGTAGCTCTGTTACTTTTCCTCAGGTAAAGATGAAAGTAACGACGTTACTTTTGTCGTTACTTCTCAGTTTTTTTTTGTGAATAATACATCATTGAACAAGTACAATCTAGGTATTCCTTGCAATTTCCAAATTGTCTGTTCCCACATTTTGAGTGCCAAGTTGGCCTTGCACAAACTTCTGAATACATTCTTTCTCGCGAGTCACAACCTGAATATAGCCACGTGTAGATGTGATAAAAAAAAATCTAGTTATCTTTACGCCCGCGCTTGTACTTTGTAACTGAACACTTACATCTTTGTAGCTTGAAGCACTATCTCTGTTCCGGTTGTTATTTTTTCTGCGCAAACGCTTTTTAATCGGATGAATCAACCGTGAAAAAACAATGCAATACACACGGACGGCACTGCAAATGTTTCATATTTTGATTAGCGCCACTACTCCGGCGTGGTGTCAACAGTCGAGGCAAAATTCACTGCCGTTTGCTTGGGGTTTGCTCGTTGCTCTGGTTGTGTGGGGTCTGTTCAAAAGGGGCAGGGACATGTTCACCATGAAACGAGGGAAACTTTCAGGCACTAATTTCAAGAAGCAACTGCTGCTAAGTCATAATATGAAGTAAATAGCATACTTTTTAATTTTATGCTATAAAACTTGGTAAGGGGAGTTTTTGAGTTTTTCCTAAATTTTTCGTGTTATAGAAAAGTAACCGAAAAGCAACGTCATTACTTTTTAAAAGTAACTGTAACGAGTTACACTTTTGTTGCGGTAACTGTAACGGTAACTTAGCTACTTTTCTCTGAAAGTAACTGTAGCAAATTACTTCTTAACAGTAACTTACCCAAGATTGCCTCCCCCCCCCATAAAGGGGGCTAAAGTGAGTGGAAAAAGGAGTGGAGGGAAAGGGGTATGATGTCTTTCTATGTGTGACTTGAAAATAAAAAGGCTGAAAAGAAAATGCTCAACTTGGCTCTTCAGCTGCAGAGTGTCTCCCCCAAAAAATTTCAATTTTTTTTTTTTTTTACGAACAAAAATAAATTATGCGTTGCCGGACGTTCATTTTCTGCCCAAATGTGGTGCTAGTGGTTCGAACCAGATCCCGAAGAATCAGAATTAATTGTCACCTTGCTAAAAATTCTAAGTGATTTTCTAAAATCTTTTATGGAAGAATGGTGGCTGGTTGGCTGGCTGGTGCCAGTAAACCAAAAAAACAAATCCCATTTTCCCATTAAGAGTTTTTTCTAAAAGTTTAAAAGTTTTTTTTAAACAGCCATATTGGGGACAAGCATGTCACAAAACAAATCTTCTGCGAAAAAACAAATTTTTTTAGCAATATTCACGCCACAGGACGCAATTTAGTCGGCGTCACAACCTCTCCACATTTGAAACTCCCGCTCTTTCGACGCGCGCGGAGTGGCTGGAATACGTCACTCCGTGACGTATAATACCAACTTTGTGGCGCGCAATTTAAAACGGACGAAATAGCCGCAAACTAAAATCAGTCCAACGCAATAAATAATGCTCTAAAAAATTTTGTTTTTGTTGGAAAAATTGTTTTGTGACATGCTTGTCCCAATTAGGCTGTTTAAAAATACACTTTTTTTTTCTTTGCAGTTACCCTTTAAAAATATATATATATATATATATATCGTAGAATACCAGGCAAGCGCCCACTCAAAATTTAGACATAATCGCCAAAAAAGGGGGGATGGGCGCTTTTCCGGTCATCAATTTTACATATAAATGTACTGTGCATATTTTTTCATATCTTAGAAATTCGGATATGGGCGCTTAATGTGGAATGGGCGGATGCGCGGTATTCTACGGTATATATTTTGTTAGCTTTTCTATAAGATGTGGTTAATTCTGAAACTCTTGTGCCTGGTTCAGAGCAACATAAAAGCAACAGACGCTGCTTTCATGTGCAGTATGCCCACCCCCTCTTCCCCAAAGGTTCGCTTCCTGTTCGAAACACCACGGCTTTGAAGACTGTTGTTATGGTGACTCAGTAGAATACGCAGGTTTTAAAGCACAACGTCTTGATGGCGCTTGAAACAATGGGTGGTGGCCTTGGAAGGGGGAGGGGTATTTGCCCCTGTGCGGGAGTTCCATCACTGAGTGGATCTACTAACTTAGGTTGCCATCCAAGTCGTTAAGGGAATTCATGCTACTATCGTCAGAACTCCTGTTGCCAACCCGATAGCACAAATTACCCGACTTTAGATGACAGGTTTTCTAAGGGCACACTCTTTATGTTTGTCTCCTCAAGCAATAGAAAATTGAACAGAAAACGGCAGTGGGTCTTCTTTTGAGATATTATGATACGTGCCAATGACTTTTCATGAATCCAGTCTAGGCTTAGCCTGCCTATAACAGTAGCCTGGCAGCATCGAACTGTTCTGATTTTCGAGTGTTATTTTACTGACACACAATCATAATTCCTTCATTTTCATGTAGACAAGTGGGAGATTGATCCTTCTGAGCTTGCACTTCTGGAAGAACTGGGCAGTGGACAGTTTGGGGTAAGTTATGGACGACCTCTCTTGTTCTGTGCATAGGCTAGCTTTGCAGAGAGCAAGTTGTCTGCTTCTTACGCAGGAGTTGCAATGACGTCAGAACGACACCGAGCTCTGACTGGCTTTGATTAAAGGATAGGGGATAGAGCTCAATGCTAGATGCCTTGAGGTCTACCCACTATTTTTTTTAATCAGCCAATAAGAGCTTCACATCCTGACATTGCATCTCCTATGCAAGTAGCAGACGAACTTGCGCTCTGCATTGTTTGTGAACATAAACCTTCTACCCGCGGTTGTGCAACATGTGGCGCACCTGCCTTGTTGCAGGTGGTGCGGAGGGGCAAGTGGCGTGGATGTCGCGACGTTGCTGTCAAGATGATGAAGGAAGGTACCATGTCCGAGGATGATTTCATCGAAGAAGCCAAGCTCATGACGTGAGTTGGGACAGCAATAATGGCTCCGCTCTTCTCGTGTGCCCCGTTTGTTGTCAATCGCTTAACAATATACAGTGGAACCTTGTTAATTTAGCCCGATAGGGACCAAACCTTTGTTTGAATAGAGCCAGGTTTGAATTACCGGGAGTTTCCTCCGGTAGAGACGCGTAGGACTAGACTTGCATGCTAGTTTGAATTATCCGCGAGTTTGAATTGCAAGGTTCCACTGTACAGGGATATTCAGACAGGAAGGAGCAGATTTCAAATTTTTATTCCAGGCACATTGCGCACATCACTGAAGAGAGGAAGGTTCATAGTTTTGTCCCACCTACGCCTGCTGCTGTCCAAGACCTGAAACATCAAATTGCCAAAGCTTTGAATTCAATAAACTAGGGACCAATTGATTTGTGTGACGAGGAATGAACTACCATTCTGATGTTCGTTGCATAACACTGCTCATGTTGAGTGCAAAGAACTTGAATGGCCGTAGATCTTTGCACCCTCCTTTATCCGGTGATGTACGGAATGTTTCTGCCATTCATAGTTTGTTTGAAAGAAAAATATGAAATATGTGAATTATTTATGAATAGCCCTGTACTATTAGTAAAAGGGTAAGCTTCTAATATTGTTACTGACATCTAAAGTATTTATGCAGGTAGTAGAAATATACCACTGGAGTAAAGTTTTCTTAGTTGCCTTTGGGGTAGAAAGGTTGTACTCTGTCACTATTACGACTTACATCCATTTGCTGTCTGTGTATGAAACCTCTCGGTTGGTGTCAGTAAGGTTGGAAATGACCTATTAAATGAGAAAAGTTTTTCTTGACTGGCAGGTTCTAAGACACGCGGCCCTTGTGAAACATTTGGAAACTTTAGCCATCGGTAGCCTTGGACAAAAATTTTTCTGAAGCGCAACCCTCTTTTTTCTTCCATGACTGACCATGGAAATCTCAGCAAGCTACAGCATCCCAACTTGGTGCAGCTGTACGGTGTATGTAGCAAGCACAGGCCCATCTTCATTGTGGCCGAGTACATGAAGCATGGTGAGTCACTGCCCCTCTTTTCGCAGAACATGCACTCTTTGTTGTGCTATCATGTGACACCATCCGATATCTTCATTATTTAGCTTGAAATGATAGCTGGTATTTTTCTTTATTGTACCTTCATTCTTTAGATTGTGTCTTTATTAGTAGCTGGTGTTTTTCTTTATTAGATACATATCTGTAGCTTATGCCAAAGACTGAAAAAGAATGTCTGGGCACTAAAATTAGACACAACACCAGGCTTTTTGTCCTCTCCTTAATTTGTATTGCCTCATTCCTTCTTTAGTTTCCCGACAAACATACCGGAAAATCCTGTAGGGTGCCCACTTAAAATGAAGAGATGAATTGTGAAAAGCAAGAGGTGGGCTATTTTTTTTAATCGGAGAGAAAAACTTTATCAAAAATAAATAATAAACACTGGGGCACCCGTTAAAACCACGTGACACGGGAACTGATACCGCAGGTCGTGGACATGGCAAATGCACATTTCACAATGCAAGAAACACGCGTGAACTCGCTACGAATTTGCATGTCACGGGAGCCGACATTGCGCCCACGGGTGGCAGACAAAAACGCAGGAACCCGCAACTATCGTTAATCGAATGCCATTTTACCATTTTACCGAAACACTTTTTGGAGAACAGGCTCGTTTTATCGAAGCTCGGTTCAGAGAAAGCGGAGCTTCAGTCTAGAGAAATGTTGTTTATCGAAAAGGAAACGGTGCTTAAAAAGTTTGCTTGCTTCGCGCGTGTATCACTAGGGTGCATGTTAACCCACCTGGACCCCCCGTTCACGCCACTCCGCAGTGACAGTCTGCGGCAGCTCACTACAAAAATGTTAACCCACTTGCGCCACCTGTACATGCCGCCTTGGGGCAGCCGAATCCGCTAAAAGAAGGTCGTCGCCGCTACGACCTGTGGCAGCGTTCGCTAAAACTAGCGTCGCTAAACCGCATGCCTCCGTCTGCTGTGAACCCGCTTGTCACGTGTACCGGTACTGCAGATCGTACGGTCGACACGATTCCCATCGTGCGATGTTTGACGGAAACCTGGGGGGTGTGGGCGACGTTTCGGAATGTTAAGTCACGGACATGTAGCTGGAAAAATGGGACGGGCAATCCCTCGGGGTAGGGTCTCTTGTGGGACTTTACGATACACATCTCCTATTTATTTTCAATCTTGCCGAAATGGTTTCCTTCAGCAAATATCTTTATGCGTCACATTTTGTTTTTATGCGTGCAGGAGGCATGCACGTCGAGGCTTACCTTATTCCCGTGGATTCGGAAGAGCTTCGTATAACGCGGTTTGGTTGTGCAACGCTGTAGTCGCCGAAAGCTTGAGCGACGGAGGGCGCGACGAGCCCCGGGCATCTCATTATCGCTTTGCAGCCAATGAGATTGCACCGTTAGCCGACGAGAATGCCAAAGAATGAATTGCGTGGCGAGGGTCTTGGGCATTGTAAGCCGTACCCCGCGTTCTTTAAGCCGTCGGCAACCGTGGTGGCGACAGGGAATAACAACGATGACGACTACAACACAGGCTCACTGCTGCACTTCCTGCGTCGCCACGAGAAGGCGCTGAGCGAGCGGGGCCCACTGCTGCTGCTGGACGTCTGCCTGCAGGTGGCGAGCGGCATGGCCTACCTGGAGCTGCACAACTACATCCACAGGGACCTGGCCGCTCGCAACTGCCTCGTGGGGGAGAACTATGTGGTCAAGGTGGCCGACTTTGGCCTGGCCAGGTGCAGTCCTGCTTTGCTCTTTCCCGATCACTTGTGCCTCCCCGTCGGAGCACCGTATTTATTTGAAAATATGTCGACCCCTTTAGGAACAGTGCCTGTGCGTGTATTTCCCTGCAACGTTCGAGAAGAGCCAATCGTTGCGATTTACGGAAGACGCGTGGCGAATGACGAGGCACCAATGAAGTCGGAACATAAAAATAAGTTTTGTGTGGATCACCCTTTTGTTTTGTTTCAGACGTGATCTTTGCTTCGCCAACCAATGGCACCTTTCGTAAGTCTGAATGATTGGTCTCTGTGGGTTCTGCGGGACAGTAGACACGCATGTCTGTTCGTAAAAAAGGTTGACCTGTTTTTAAATGAATACGGTAGTTGTGGACGGCTTGGATGCGAGAGCAGGCAACTGAACGACGAAGCGGTCTAAACGAGGTTGAAGTCGCACAACCGGAGCCGATGGCTTCCTGTTCGAGCGGTCGTGGACTGCTCAAATATGGCAGTCCACAACGGACGACGGACAATGGACACAGCGGACGACAAAGAAGTCCACACAAAGCCAAAGTTGCAACCTACAACGCTTTGTGTGGCAACCTACCACGTTTCACCCTATGTTTTGCAGCGTTCTGTCAGTAGTTTCGGGTAAGGGGACAGAATTTACGCACAGTTTGTAAATTGTGTATGGCTGTGAGTCACGTTTTTGACAGTTCCATTTTCGGTGTTCACCGGAAAGAAAACAACTGCATTCTGCACAATGGTTTGACCGAGGGTAAAAAAACTGTGCTCGTGGGGTGCTGACCTCGTGGGGCGCTACTTGCTCTTTATTCATTTTACCATCAGGGCGTGCCGTTCACTGCAGTGTGCTACGTGCAATTTGCCACCGTGCATTTGTGCTGATTTGCAGATTGCGATCATCATAATCGTAATAGTTGTTTGTGCAGATAAAAAAAAAATATTGTAAAAAGAGAACACAGAATGGCACCATGCTATGGCTACAGTCGGCTCAACTCGTAACAAACTGGGGTGTTGTTGATATCACGGTTGTTGCGTCTTTGTCTGGCGTGGTGGGGTGCTATGGCTCTGAATGTACCGTAGTACAGTAAACTTTCGTTAACTCGACCTCGACGGGACCTTGAAATTTGGTCAAATTTTGTGAATGATCGAATTAAAAAAAAAGGACAGAAAAACTGTTAAAATTAAACTTCCTTTCATTGTCCGAAGTACTCACAGATTTTCTGCTGCTGTCTGCATGCTCCGGAGAGCAGCCTCACTAAACGTCACATCCCAAAAAAATCGCGCGCTAAAAAAAAAGCTTTCCATGCCGACTTTGGCACCAGGCAGCCAGACCGTCGGCGGCAGAGAAAAATAGCAAGAAAAAAGGAAACGATAACCCGCACCTCCCAGCGCCCAAGACCGCACACAATCCTACAGAAAAGCGCTTTGAGAGCGCGCTGAGAAAGCTTTACGAGCCGACTTTGGCGTTGGGCGGCCAAACCATAGGCAAAAAAGAAAAAAAAAAAAAGAAGAAAAAAAAAGAAAATAATTTGCGGTTTCCCGCACGGAAGATGGACCGCACACGATGCTACAGAAAAGCGCTGAGAGCGCGTGTTGTCTCCGCGCTACTCCACGCCAGATTGGTTGTGCTGGCTCGTGTTATTTGCTACGGTCCATCTCAACGGCGTAGAGGAGCAGGCGCATATTTGCGCACGTTCGACCTTGCAGCAAAGGGCCCGTGTTTCGCCGCACAGCTGCAACGGAAAAAGAGTAGCACAAGTGACCGAAGACCGGAGCGGCAAAATCGTGACACGCGGTGCTATTGTTCCCGAGTGTGCTGATAGCGAGAGTGCCAGTCTCTTTGCATGCCTCAATGCGGGGCTGGCCGGCAGAAAATTGAGGGGCAAGATAGCTTTTGAAATGGTGGGCTTTAGGATGGGCTGCTTTCTGCCTGCCATCCCCACGTTGAGACGTGGAACGTGACTTGTACTGTCGCTATCGTCGCTCTCGGGAACAATAGCGCCGCGTGTCGCGATTTTGCCGCTCCTGCCATCGGTCACTTGTGCCACTCTTTTTCCGTTGCACCTGTACGTTGGTGGTTTTTCTGCCGTGGTGCCGTGCAATGTGAGCTCGCGCGCATTCGCTCCGTACAAATTATGTGATGCGGAGGCTTTCCGAGTTCGAACTATCAAACTTTGCCTCCCCTAGAAATGTATGAGCGCTCGCCGGGACTTTTGAACTCGATTAAATTAAACGAAAAGTCGAATTAACCGAGGTCGAAGTAACGAAAGTTTACTGTATCCCGAGACATACAGCTCGCCCAGAATCGAAAGCAAATGAAGTGAAAATCGGGGGCAAGCTAACTTTTGGTGTGCCAAAAAAAGAAAAATTCCGAGGACACCTAAGCACTTCTTAAGTGTTGTGAATGCGAAAGCATGAATGTCGTTCTTCCTCTCCCTTGGTTCGTCCGCGGCGTCGTGGCGTGGACGGCCATGTTTCATCGGTTGACTGCCGAGCGCGCGCTCTCGTCAAGTGGCCGCGCCGCACTAAGCTCGGCCGTGCGCCCTCTCCGGAGTTTGCCCAGGCGGGCTATGCGGCCAGACGCCAGGCCCGCACTGCCGCACCTCGCCGGGCCGCTACGTGCGCTGCGCTGCCATCGAGAAGGCTTCTCTGGTGGTGTTTTTTTGGAACTACACCGCGCGAGAGCCAGTGGGAGCCTATCCACCAGATTTCTGCTAGAGACGACATGGGACAGGGGAAGGTGCTGTTTAGCACGGCTTCAAAGCTGGTGACGTCGGTTCGCTCCATGGGACAGTTATTGGTTTCGCATTAATAAGTTTGAAAAAAAAAAAAAACTAGTACATTAGGTTTTGTGACTTTCGAAACTTGTGATCGCTGGGAAGGGCGGTGAGCCAAAGATGACTGTCCTTTCCAGTCAGCAATATTCGCTTATTTCCTGCCGGGGCTGAGTAACATAATTTCTGCCGAAGTCACCATTGGCCAGGTCCCTGCAATCACTAGAAGCTGGCTATATTTCAATGTTTCTGGAAAAAATAGCAAGTCATGCCAAAAATAGAGGTGGGTTATCTTTCGGGTGTGTGGAATCTCTTGGCGTATTACGATAAGTGGACCCCCTGTTAAAGTTTAAAACAATAAATGAATAAATAAAAATGGGTTGACCTACAATTGTGTAAATATGGGACTTTCTCCACATCCTCCTCGTCACAGAGTGATAGCAGTTTACCTACAACACTGTTATCGCAAGGAAGAAGGTGATGATAGTGGCTGGAAAACTTGAGGCGCAAGTGCCACACCAGTGCTATCCAGTGCGAGTAATGTGTGTTCCTTGTCTCCGAAGGTATGTCATGGACGACGAATACACCAGCTCGGGAGGGGCCAAGTTCCCCATCAAGTGGGCCCCGCCCGAGGTGCTCGGCTACACACGTTTCAGCAGCAAATCAGACGTCTGGGCATACGGTGAGCCTCTGGTCTTATTGATTGCCAACGTTTGTTCGATGAAAGCTAGACTAATAATATTTACTGGAAGCCAAGCCTTGGATAATGCTTTGTTTTTTGTCAAAAGTAGTTTTTTTTACAATCATCCAAATAAAATTAAACCAAAGAGGATCAGTTAGCTCGTATAGAAGCTGTGCAATTAGGAAATTCAAAACAAAACGATTAGCTGATATGTTGCAAGAAGCGAAAGTACCCTATGCAGGCAAGCTGGCTAGAAAACATGAAATAGTGCAGTGGTGTTTGTTCCTCCCTCTTGTCCGTCTCTATGAGTACAACCATGTTTTCGAAAATAAAACAAGGAACTACACAATTTGAGATATTGTGCCATGTTGTTTTCTGCTTTATTTCTCTTAGTCTCAGGGTTTAGTAGATCAAAATGTAGCTGATATGTATATACCTTTGTAGAACAAGTGAAAGAACATAGAGAAAAGGTCTTCGTGATATGCGCATGCATAGCTCTAAGCACGCTTCTTTTCGTGCCGCCGTCAGACTTGAAACCCACGTTTGGCCGACGCTTGCGTCAACTTGTTTTTGCTGTTTCTTACGATGCAATATGTACTGTGCGTACGGGTGAATGCATTGGGGTATCTGTGTGTGACTCTCTTTGAAGTGACATGTTTCTGTGTTCTGCTCGATTGCCAGGGGTGCTGATGTGGGAAGTGTTCACATGCGGGAAGATCCCCTATGGGCGTGCAGCCAACGCAGAGGTGGTGGAGCAAGTGCAGCAGGGGCAGCGGCTGGCCAGGCCCCATGCATGCCCCTCCGAAGTGTACCAAGTGATGCGGTCCTGCTGGGAAAAGGTCAGGCATCACATTCGACGGAGAGTCCGCATGTGCCTTGGTTGCATCAATTTCGGGATTTTAAACCTAGTTGCGGGGAGTGTCTGGACATCGCATTCCTCGGTGCTGATCCTTTAAGTTTGTTTCATTTCTTGAAAAATATGCGACTTTGTAGCAAAAAGATAATTGGGTGCTGTCTTAACACCGTAATCTAGCAATTCGTGTGGAGAAAGCGATTTTTCTTCAGAGCTGCCGGGGCCCCTCGAAACCTTTTTAAGCAGGTCTATAAATCTTTCCTTTTCTTGCATTCGTGCTCATAAACTAAAGAGCAAGGAAGCCTCCTTTTTTCCAACTTTTGGGGAGGTGGTGAACAGAACTGGGCACAGAACCCAGATTTGTTTGGGAACTTGGGGAAGGTCATTGAATATGTCCGCTTACCTGTGGCTATTGAGAAAGGGAAAGTCAACCTTCCTAACAGCAGATCAATCTTGAACCCTTTTGCAATCAAGCTTTTTTTTTTTCTTTTTTAAAAGAAGAATAGCATTAGGAATAAGTCAGTACACAGTGTTTTTTTTGTTTTTTTCATCTAACGTACAGTGCTTGCAAGCTGTCCAGACTGAGAAAGCATCGAACGGAAGCATTATGGGTGAAAAGTTGTCGCCTTTCTTCCATACGGCCTATTTTCGTGCGTTTGCTTCCAATCAACATTCTGGCGGTCTCAGACTCTGAACCGGAGGCACTTTGCAGAACTTCTGCATTGGATGATTTAGTTTCCATCCTCTGACCCGAACTCCAAGATGCACTGGAAGTATAAATAGAAAGAGCCAGCAATCCGATTGCCACTGCCACATTAGCAACCAGCGTGCGTATCAGTCCAGCAAAGTGTTGAATTTTGAAACTATAAATACCCCATCAAAGTGAAACACGGCATGAACAAAATATGAGCGGTACACATAAGGTTACTCGACATCTAAAGCTTTGTCCGGGGTTTGCCCGTTTCTTTCTGCCTTGTTGTCGCAGAAGCCGGATGCGAGACCTTCCTTTCGCTCCGTCAAGACTCAGCTGGAGAAGATTATGGACAAGGACCATTGACTGCCAGAACAAAGTTAAGACTCGACCCTGTTGCAAACTACTTCAAGTGGCTCTTAACGGAACTGGACACTGTGTTCTCATGCGCCGCCGGAGCAAAACTGCCAGCTAAACAGATATTTTTGTTTGCATAGCATTCACAAACTAGGACCGAGTGGTTGTATGCGTCTTCGTCTGCATGTGTACGGTAAGCGTAGCGTCGGCTAAAGCCAATCTCGTTTTTTTTTTTTAGCTGTCTATCCAAGTCATTGCCAGAAACCTGTGATTGAAGAGTTAGGTCTGCTCAGTTCCATGACATTTCTTGTGTTGTTGTTGCAGCTTTTGTTGCATTTCTTAAAAAAAATATAGACCCTTTTGTGTGCCATAATTTTAATTTTTTTTTCTTTTTTTATTGAGCGGTTGTGTTGACACCGGCTCCCCCGGTGTCGTCTATCACGGCGAATTTTCGTAGAAGGGTTTTCATTTTTTGTTTTTTTATATTTTCGTTAACATTTGTTAATGAGCGTTTTGCTTAAAAGGGGTTCGTTTAGCCATGACAAAGTTTTATATTTTCAGGTGTTCCTTAAACGGAATGCTTCGGCCCGCTTTTGGGATGTACGCGGACGAAAGGCGGAAATAAAAAGAAGCGGTTATTCCGAGTACTTTGAATGATGTGCTTTGGGAGGTTCACCATTTCATCATTTTCAAATACTATCGCATTTTAGTGCATCCCCTAAGAACCCAGATCTGCCTAAAATGGTGCACTGCATCGCAAAATTAGCTTCTTAAACGGACACCAATGCCGCGAGACTATTGCTGCACCGATAAAAATATGTAAAAAATGAAATAAAAGAACTTTTGCATCATAGTGACATTGCCCTGTGCTATCCAATAATGTATATGTAAGCCATTTCCATAAAAAAAAAGGGAGCATAATTATTGTTTTTGTTTGGCAACAGTAGATATGTTACATATAGTATTTTAATACTCAGTCTTTTTTTTTTTAAGTTTGGACGTTGCGGGATTTGCTAGCTACTAACAGAGGTGCCGATAGAGTAACCAAAGGGTTAATCTCAACAGCGGCGGCAATCTCGAGGGAGACATCAAACCGGAAAGTGGTCCCCCTAAGAGAGAGTGAGGGAAGGGCCGTCCAAGAGGGAAGGCCCTCTGCTTCACGAACAGGTCGAAGCTCGCGGCGAAGGAGGCCGAGCGTTCCAACCCGCGGCCGTTATCACAGCCATCGGTCGAAGGGAGACCACTGGAATCCCCGCAACATGTGTCTCGGGCGACCAGCCTCCATTACGTGCCCAGTGTCTTCCATTATGCTCGTGCTGCACGCGCACAATCGAGGCACATAAAGCACCGAAGTGTTATCGAAGGTAGGGAAGCTAGCGCCGGAAGTGGGGCAACTGAAGGACCAAAGTTTTAATCCTCTTGACCATTGTGGTTTCAACTACTCGTTGTGTGAGGATGGGACACGGCTACCTTCGGACATGGGGTGGGGGAGCAGCTTCGCTTGGTTGGTTATCTTACCTGCCAACATCAAGGGTCCAGCTGCAATTCACCACCAAAGCAAGAGGTGGGAAGCATTTGAGCACGTATTACGACCTCTCTGAAAGTGCCCACAAATCGGATAGTTTGCAGCTTGCTCCTTTGCATGCATCGCTTTTTCCTCGACCTATTGAGACACTGAAATTGAAAATTAACCTATTTGCCTGAGTCTTCTCCGGCATTCCTGTCAACTAAGTTTGTGATTCATCACGTCCGTGGGACACCAGAATGCCACTACTGCATGACTGAGGAACGAGTTCTACTGTTCAAGGGACAAATGCATTTTTCTTTAAGTTGGGCAGTCTACTCTATACTCCCGTGTCACCAGTTGTGCGCAGTACAGGCGAAGGCAACGCCAGGCGAGCTGAAAAAGGCCAAGCGCTAGGAAGGCTGGGGAAAAGGAAAGAAACCTCCTATCTTCTCTAGTGTTCCTAGTGCCCTCTCTCCTCTCACCCTCCGTTGCCCTCCTCTGCTGTCTTACCTTCGTAGTACTTGCCTTTTCTCTCTTCGCCTGCTCTGCACACAACTAGTGAAGGAGTATAGGGTGTTTCCACGTTGAGTCGTGCAATAACGGTTCGGGTCATATTTTGAATGCGAAAGCATTAACTGGTCCCATGGAGCGAACCGACGTCATCAGCTTCAACACCACGCCAAACGGCACCTAAAACCCCCTTTCCCAAGTAAAGCCGATTTCTGAGGGATTAGGCTCCCATTGGCTCTCGTGCGGCACAATTCCGAAAAAGCCACCAGGGAAGCCCCTCTCCATGGCGGCGCGGCCGCCGGTAAGAGGAGGAAGCGGTGGTGGCAGAGACAAAGCCCGTCCCGGCAGACTCCAGAGTGGCCGCATGGCCGGGCTCAGCACGGCGCAGCCACTTTACGAAAGCGTGCACTCTGCCGTCTGCCGGCGATGCGTGGCTGTCCACGCCACTACGCCGCAGACACCAAAGAAAGCGGACGAACGACATTCATGCCTTCGCATTCACAACTCCTAAGAGGTGCTTAGGTGTCCTCGGACTTTTTTTTTTTTATATTTATGTAAAAAATATATTCTAAAGCATGTTCTTGGGAGGAGCACTCAGGCATATGTGAACGCCGTAGCTGATTTTCTTAGAGATATAAATTTTCAAAGCTCGAGGCGTGAAGATTGCCAAGGTTTTGCTATGGTACTCCGCACAGCCGTCAATTTCACACTAAAGCATGCACCGAGTAATTATTTTTCTACTTATTTTATGAACGGTTTACAAGATGTATGCGTAATATGAAAAATTACAATATAAGATTTCGATGCAAAAAAATTTATGAAGCATGTTTTATAGGTGCATTAACACATTATTTACCAACAAACTTTTTCATTAAAACGATGCCAAAAATATATCAAATAGATCACCTTCAGATAATTTTTATCAATATATGATAAAAGTATGCTTAGCTATTATTGTACCGTAGAATACCGTGCATCCGCCCATACAACATTAAGCGCCCATTCCCAAATTTGTAAAATCTGAGAAAATATGCGCAGTACATTGATATGTAGAATTGATGACCGGACAAGCTCCCATCCCCCATTTTTTCATGATTATCTCAAAATCTTGAGTGGGCGCTTGCCCGGTATTTTACGGTAGTTTTTATTAATGCAGAAATGCAGCTCACTTCTCTGAATATGGCGAAATTGCACGTAAATTTTTTTAAAAACTCCACTTTTTACTTAAACTCTCCTTAAACACCGACAGTCTATTTATGCTCGCGAATGTTTTGTTTTTATTTGTACATGACACGCGAGAGCCCAGCTACCCAACACACAATTTGTGGCTCAAAATTCACGTTTTTTTCTGCTGAAAACTACCGAATGAGAACTGGTCGGTTTGAGTCTCGCTCGCTCTCTTGCTGTTCAGACTCTCGTACCAATGATAATCAAAGTCGTGGGTCATCGAAGGCACACACTCAATATTAAAAATAGAAAAAAAAAAAATGAGACCAATTTTTTGTGGCTTCTAAAAAACTGCAAATGCATTGCTTGAAAAAAAAAAAAAAATTCCGAGGACACTTAAGCACTTTTTACGAGTTGTGAATGCGGAATCACGAATGTCGTTCCTTGCGCCATGGCCGCTTCCGATTCTCTCGGCGCCGCGGCCGTTTCTGCTCCTTTTGGGGGGGGCCGGAGCACCGTGGCGGAGGGGTGGCGTTCCTTGGAACTATGCTGTGGACCAGCCAATGGGAGTCTATCCATCAATTCGCTGTTACAGACTACAGGCTTCGCTCCATGGGACAGGGGAAGTTAGGTGTCGTTTGGCATGGCTTCAAGGGCTGATAACGCCAGTTTGCTCCACAAAACGGTTAATGCTTTTGCATTAAAAAAAAATTTGCGCAGAACACCAAAGTGCATGTACTGCATAATGGACATTTTTCCAATAAGCTTCTGCAAATGCACACACCTCCTCCCCTGGACTTCTGCCGCTATCGCCATTTGCGCAAAGCAAAGTTCCACTCATCCGACATATTCAGGACCTACTTTCGCGTGCATTTCGTTTTTTGGGGGGCAATTCTTGCTTGCGTAAATGGTAGTATGAGGTATAAAAGGCAACGAAAAACAACACAACAGCGTGATGCCAAAGTAATTTTGATGGGCGAAGGCAAATTGGGCTGCCCTTCGATTGTGGTTTGAAGACAACTCCGCAGACGGTGCTCGTTACTGGAAAAAGGTCCATTTGTAACGTTGCGTTGTATCGCTGGAGTCGCGGGCTGGACAAAGCAGACCAAGCGATGGCGGCGGACGACGGGCATGGGACCTCTTCAGAACTGCATTTCCGTATTAATAACCGAACTACAATAGTGGCTAAGCATATTTTTGATATATTCGTAAAATGCATTTACAGGTAATCATTTTTATATACAGTAAAATACCGTGGAAGTGCCCACTATTAACATTTCCCAAACTTGGGAATTCTGCAAATTATTCCTTAAGTGCCCGATTTGACCAGACAAGCCCCCGTGTCCGAATTAACCGAGTTTTCAGCGAAAGTGGGGTAGGCGCTCTCCCGTTATTTCACTGTATTTTGCGTTGCTTCACATGAAGTAGTTTGTTGGTAAATAAATTGTGAATCTGTATCAAAGACAAGTTTATTGACGTGTTTTGTAAATATTTTTTCGTAGAAATCTTATTGTATTCTTTAATATCCTGTTCACATGTTGTAAACCTTTCATAAAATATTTGGGAAAAGTTAATACCATACGCATGCTTCGGTGTGAAGTTATCAGCTGTGTAAAGTGCCATAGCCAAACCTTGGCAATCTCCACGCATCAAGCTTTAAGATTTTATATCTCCAGAAGAAAAGTAGCTACGGCGATCGCACAGTGCCGAATGTCCCTCCCAAGAACACGACTTTAACATATATTTTATATATAATTATAAAAAATATGACCCGGACCATGATCCGACGTGAAAAATCCTACTATTTGCTGAAGGTGGAAAGTTTTACATTAGAGGTGCTCTTGCACCACTACACGCCGAGATATTCAAAATGAGGAGATCACACTTGCTTATTTTTGCGTCATTAGTTACTTTCAACTACAGTTGAAACTTGGAGCTTTTTTTTTCATTTTTTTTTTTTTTGAAAGTACTCCATTGCCAAGAAGATGGCACTACTGTGGCACAATAGTTCACAGGAGCTCGTTGGATACTCTATTTAACACCATGAAATACACAAGAAACACTGAGCTATTTTGTAAGGCACCCAGTAAAATTATGGTTTGAGAATCGTTTTCCCCAGCCTTCGGGCCGACGCCGTGCTCCTTGCCTGGTGGTGCAGCCTGATCTTGCTGTAACATGAAGCTGTGCGTTTGGTCAGCCGAGCAACATGGTTGTCGGCTGGCTCGGTGTCAAACATGTGCTTGTTTCCCTCGAAGAATCGCACCTGTCTCTCAAGGAGGTCGTGAAGAACGGCACACCCAACAGCCACTTCTAGACGCTGTCGTTTGAACACCCCTTTGGATGTGCTGTCTCTGGCCTTCAGCACCCTGAGGCACTTTTCTGCACTTTTGCAGATGGCCACCAAACTAGATGAGGGCATGGGTGGGTCTCCGGTTCTTCGTCGCTCCTGCAGGATAGCCAGGCAGCCTGGGCAGGTCTCGTCTTTCTGCAGCATGCGGGCAACATAACCAGCTAGGTGTTCTGCGATGTTCTCCACGTACAAGGAGAGAGTTCTGTCATTTGGGACGTCCAAATAGTCATGCTCTTCTATGCGCAAGGACAGAGTCTTTATGCTCGGAACATCCGCATAGTCGTGGTCCTCATCCCTGGGTAGGACCATCATGCCGAGAAATCTAACGGTTCCGCGATCGTTTAGCGGGGCATTATGGTCCGTATCTTTGCAGAGGGCTGCGTCCCTCATCTGATTCTGCGTCGAGCAGTTTCCACTTGGCTGCCGCAGTTTGGGACGCACAAGGAGTGTCTTGTAGGCATCCACAAACTGCCGAGCCGTCGGGTTGTCGTTCCAACTTCCTCTGCGCCTTAGGGAACCGAAAAAGCGCTTTAGGTGATCCCGACTGCACTTGTAGGTGAGCAGGTACCTCATGAGGGGTTTCTCGCCACCCAGCAGCTTGTTGAGGAGACCTTCGAAGCTCTTTATGGCCAGAAGAAAACCCACAAAAGCGGTCTTCATTTTGGTAAGGTGGAGTGGCTGGCCATGGATGTCCTTCAAGCCAAGGATGTACACCTCTGCTTCAAAGAAGGGCTTCCACAGGTGCTCCGTAGTCATCTTCAGGGGTGCCTTGAGGCCTTCGGCCAAATGGTTTCTCGAATTCATCATCGTAAACAGTGTGTCGAAGATCCTCACGAACTTTACTGTTGCCTCGCTGTCGGCAAAAGTTTGGATCTTGAGGTTGGTTGTGCAGAATTCTAGGGCGTCGGCAACGCTCGAGCTGATTGCTTTGCCTGCAAGATCCATTGGCTTCAGTTTGTTGCCTTCCCTTGGACCTTGTTCTTGTTGATGCTTCTTAAGCTCCTCAATGTAGAGCCACCTTATGGAACGTCCGTCGGGATCTTGGATGACCCGAAGAGACGACAGCGTGCTACAAAGTAACTTTAGCATATGGCAAAGGTCACAGAAGACGAAGACCTTTTCTTGGCTGTTGGCGGGATGTCGGAACCAGGGCTTCATTTCTTGGGGGGGCACCTGCAGCTCAATTCCGAGCGCTTCAAACATGGCCCAATTCGAACAGAGTCTGTCGCACGTCAGGGAGCATGCAACAACACCAATGTCGTATAGCTTCGTCAGGCAGATGTTCACCAGGTTGGCCTTCTCTCTTCCAGACATGCCATGGATCAAGAAATAGCCACAGGGAAGCTGCCAGTGGTTGTTCAGGGACACAACCATGAACACCAGAGCTTCAGCAGCGAGAGGCTGGCTGTCGTCGTCCACTTCAGCCCCGATATCCATCAATCCTCGGATTCGCTTTCCGTCCCACTCGACGTGCTTCCGGAGGCTAATCGAGTCCATCAACAATGCGCAGAGGACTTTTTCTCCTTTCTTTTCGCTTTTACGGACCTTGACCCGCAGCGTCTGAAATGCTTCAGAGGCGAATCCGGGTTCCATGTGAGTCGAAGTGCACCACGATCGTATCAGGGTTGCATCGGGAAGTTCCAGCTCGTACGCATTCTGAACGTACTCGTATGCGTCAGTTGAATAGGAGTGCAGCGTAATGGCAAAAGACCTCAGCTCCGGCGGGCACCGTTCCTTTGTCACTGGGCCTTTGGTGTTCTTCAGTACTTCGAGACAGAGCTCCAGAGGGGTGCCACAGAGCGACTGACGAAGGATGGCAAGGGCGTCGTCGCCGAGAAGCTGTCGTTGCCTGAGGTCCTCGAGGATCTCATCCACATCGGGAACCTTTGGTATCGGCCGCCTCTGCTTTTTTCCCGTCAACCACTTTTGTTTTTTCCTGACACCTCTTGCAGGACGATTAACGTCTTGCGCCTTGCGCTTCACGGAGCACGGCGCTTCTACGGCGTAGGAGTAGTCAGCAGGCTGTATGTTGGGGGTATTGCTCACGGGAGCACTAGTGCTGGCACCACTGTCGTTTTCTGTTCCGCTTGTACGGTCTCTTGGAGGTTTTCTTGTCTTCTGTGGTAGCTGAGGGAAACACCAAAACGGGATCCGTTTTCTGATTATGGCATTATTTGGAACAGCATGCATGCACAAATTCTGCACTGGAGATTGTTTGCAGCAAAATCGCGAGTTTGGGATATTGAGATGACGGGCACAAAAGAGGACCTTGTTTTTGTCATTTTTGGGAAATCCTTTGCTTTCAGCTCAAATATCTGACGGCATTTATATTTATTTTATTTCTCGTGCTGGACGACCAATTAAGCTTTTGGGAGCTTCTAAAGATGTTTCCAACCTTGGACACGCTGCTTTGTGAAACACACAGTTCGACTAGTCATGTTTCGGAATATCACCAAAATGCTCCGGGCCATTAACCATGGCAGAAGCAGTCCGTTAATATTTCATTATCTCATAGTCAATTAATTTGCACTTGATTAGATGCTTCCTATGAGAAGTGAAACTACAAGATGATGGCAAACCTGGGGGTTCAGGCAATCAACTTAACCATTTCTGATGCCTTGTAATTTAATAAAACAGACAGCAAAGCCATACATTCATTTGTCCACAAGTTTAAAGCACTTACCTTGCTGAACCAACAACCACATTTATCTTCTAATCTCAAGTCCATATCTTATACACCTGTACAGCGTGTGTGTCCGTCTCGTTCCTCTCTCCTCCCCCTCGCTCCCTTCCTTTTCCTCCTCTCCCCCCTCCCTTAATCTTAATCAAAATTAAGAATTAATTTTGATTAAAAATAATTTCTTAATTTTAATAAAAATTAAAAAAAAAATATTTTTAATTTTGACGAAAAAAAATGTTTTGGGGGCCTTTCTCAAATGAAGGAGGGCACAAACTGCATGTTCCCCAGATTTACTTGTTCTCAAGTTACGAAGCATGTGTGCACATACATACATACATACATACATACAGACAGACAGAGACAGACAGACGTTATATAGTCTGTATGAGTGGTTCTCAAAGGGGGGGGGGGGAGGAGGAGGGGGAGGAGGAGGAGGAGGAGGAGGAGGAGGAGGAGGAGGAGGAGGAGGAGGGGGGGGGGTCTGCAAAGCCCCGTTTCATCAGTCAAGCCCGGCGATATCACATTGAGAAGATTTTAATTTTCAAGTGAGTTCTCTCGTGTGTTTGTCAATGGGATAAGTCTACTTCACACTAGCAATTAGTTTTATTCATTTAATAAATCATTATCATGATTAACCTATACCTTTATATTTCCCTCACCCAGAGTGAGGTCCTCCATCATCTCCGCCTATCTACAAGGGGTCCGCAAATCATCAATGGTTGAGACCCACTGTTCTATACAGATACACATTTCTAAAACCCAAGACAGAAGCTGCGAAGAGGGGACCAACATAAGATGTTTCGGAAGGTACAGGCAAAGGAGCATGGCACGGAGCAACGGCGGCTGATGTGACGTGAATGCAAGCCATGTACAGTCTATGGCTATGGATACATTGACCGCATTTTCTAAAGCCAAAAGATATATTACCCTGCCCAGGTTTTTCGTGGGGATAGCATCCGCTCTCAAGCGCACGGTTTGTCCAGTCCTGTCGAAGCAGTCTTCTTCAAAATGGTCCGAGCAAACCACATTGTTCACGGACGGCTGCCAGGTTCCTCTCCGGACATTGGTCACCCACTGTTGATAGATCTCTGGTCGACTTCGTGGAAACCTAAGGCACAAATATTGATTAATATGAATATTTATTTGAGCTCGGGAGAGCCGCGGCGCTACATCTAATGACGATGAAACGGTATACATGGCTTCCATTGACGTCACGTCAGCTGCCATTGCTCCGCACCATGCTCCTGTGCCCGTACCTTCAGCAGCACACATTTGGCATCATCGAATCTGATCTTCTCGCCAAGGCTTGCCAAGAACAAAAAATTCAATGGTGCGAAATGTATGCTGCAAGGGCACGGGCACATGAGCGTGGTACGGAGCAATGGCAACTGGTACAGTGCCATATGACGTCACATGCGAAGCATGTGTTGTACAGGGTTGTACGTATTGTACCTCTGGGAGGCAGGCCAGCAGACAGACACGTGTACGTGCTTTTGCCTTTCTGCTTTGCCTTGCATGCCTCCTAGAAGATAGCTCATACTCATGCAAACAAAAATTATTATCACTCAAACGTCAACCCCCCCCCCCCCCCCCCCCTAAAAAAAAAAGTTACAATGTTTTTTTTTTAAATTTTTTTTTATTACAAAAATAAACTAAGCTTACCGAGCGCTCATTTTCCGCCCAAATGTAGCCCCAGAGGTTTGAACCAGATGCCAAATTTTTAAGACTAAGCGTTACCTTACTAAATGGTGGTGTTGTGAGGGCCAGGGGACAGCCGCGTGTCACGATTCTTCGGGATCGTGGGCGAAGGGCGCCGAAGCACCCGCCGAGAAGAGACGACTTGCAGCCTGGTTGTGAGGGTGAATGATGACTGACCGGGGCGGCGTGTGCTCCACGGTGTTTGTTGGCGCGGTGACCAATGTTGCCTGCCGAGCCTGGCGGTCACATCGCAAACTATCAAAATCGAAGTGTCGCCTATTTGATGGCGCAATTTCCCTGTTCGACTTCCTCAACAAGGCGATAGCATTTTGTGGTTTATAGGTTTTTTTGCTGCGTGCACGAGGGTTCTGTGTTTGAACTCGTAAGAAAGTGAAGCCGCAATCATATTCCTGAAAACCTGTATGATGTATCGCTCTTCAAAATATCCCGTTCACTATAAGGAAGTTTTAGAACAATGTATGCAAGCACTTTGGGTAACCTAAAAATAGAGTTTCGATATAAAAACTAAAGGCCCGTTCACACTCTTGCAACCGAGTACGACCAAGAGACACGAGACCTGTTGAAACATTTTAAAATTTGTTAGGACGAGGGAACACATTTGCACTCTGGTGCCATCTATGCAATGACCCTGGAACTGCATTTCACAAGAGCGAAGGTTTTGCGGGATTTCCGAGGTCAAATGTGTGTAATACCTATAAGGAAGGCTTGTTTATAACGTTGACAAAAGTTTTTTAAGCCAAGAAAGAAAGGATAATGCGCGAGAGAAATAGAAAATATGCCGGACCGCCAAGTTTACACTGCTACCCAATAGATGGCGCCAGTGTGTCCACTCTTTGTAAGACGTTTCAAGGCACCCAGTTCGCAAGAGTGTGAACGGGCCTTAAGGCAACGCTAATTTTTGCTTACTCAAAGTGCTTGCCTACGTTATTCTAAGACTTCAATATTGTACAGAGTGCGACACTGTTAGCGCGAACAAGTGATTGTTGGTTTTTGCTGTTTGTCTCAAAGCATCAAAAGATTGCCATCAATATTATTAGTGTCCTTGCAAGTGCTCATCTCGGCCACTAACCCAAGCAGTACAATTTGGTACCTTCTAGTACCATCTCGAACTAAAATTCGAAAGATTGTCAACATGGTGTTCGCGGTAATGTTGTTGTGCAGTGCACATAGTCTGTTTCGTAGTTACACAGTTTGGGGACCATCTTCAAAAAAACACTTTAAGTGTTTCAAGTAGAAATATATTTCGTCGAAGCTTGCCTAAAAGCGTTGTCTATTTTAAAAATATGTTGACAAGCAAAAATATTTCACAACATAACTAAATACCTCGCCTGCACATTTGCATTGATTGCATTAGCATCATATCGGGACATATTCTTAAGCAGAAAAAGTCAGCCAATCAAGGTTCGAACGATGGAGACTTTTATTGAAAAGGTTGAGATGTGCAAGGCTTTATACCAATGGGTTCAAACGGGAAGGGCTCAAACCTAAAGGGTGTATGGGCTAAGGGTTCAAATGGCATGGGCGATTCGGGAATGGGTCGAAAGGGGATGGGTTCAAACGGGAAGGTTGTTTCGGGAAAGGGTCAAAACAGGATGGGTGAAAACTGGAATAGGTTGTTTCCATGAAAATAGAACGGTAGGAGAGGGCATGACGTCAGCCGCGTAGCCTCCACAAGCCATGCTCCCTTGACGCCTGGCCTCTTTCTCATTTTCCTCCTTACTCTCACCACATCACGTGACCGTAGCTAGCCTTCGTCTAGCCTTCGATCTGATAAAACCTACCGGACGGAGCGCACGCAAGCCTGCAAGGAATCCTCGTACATTCAACCATCCATCTTGCACGTGACATGTCACGCGCACCAATCGCCAGACAGATCTGCGGTCACGCTGGGCACAATATCAGGTATGTTCGATTCGGCCAGAACGTTCTGAACTAGTTCTGTCCGAGTTCAGACGAGTGCAGGAGTCGTGCAGCGGCGGCGCAGAACCAGTGCAGCCGCCGCGCTAGGACTGGCGCTGTGATCGGCATTCCGAGCTATTCCGAGCGGAAGCGCAGGGTGTCGTCTGCATTTTGTTTGCTCTTGTTTCTCCACGCCACGTCGTATGCTACATTTAATTAGTCGCGGTTTGGTGAGACCATTCGTGTTTCCTTAGTTTTGAAGTATAATAACGGAATCTTTTCTGTGAATATATTTTATTCGAGGGTACTAAAAACGTTTCTGCACGAAATTTGTTTCTGTCTGCATTTTTAATGGCCGTTCGGTTCCTGTCGTTTCCGTAAGCGTTCGTGTCCTTCATATTCATTTAGCAATAGTAGATTCATTCCAAGTCTTTCGAGTTTCGCATTTCGACGATAGGTTCGCGGTATCAGGATGATTTTGCGTCGGGAGCCACTGGCGGCAGCGCGCGGTCGTTAGCGGTCACCTCGAAGACGAAGGCCAAACGAGAGCGTTTGGGCCAAGACAGTTATCGACCGTAACTTTGGCGTCAAGCTGAAGCGTTTAGCCTGATTCCGAAGAAAGACCTGCGTGGAACTACCAAGCCAATGCCTATTCTCGGCGCTTTCCCCAGGCCAGCTGAGTGGGCGTCCACAGATACCAGCGGACAAAGCATGCAGTATTATTCTCAGCTACGGGGCATGCGAGGGCCAATGTACTAAATCCCAGACCTCTGCGATGTATCGGAGTCGTCAGTATGCATCCAAGAGCAACTGAAGGCGGGGACTATCAAGAGTGCTATACCTTTCTCCGTGCCTGCAAGGAAGAATATCAACACTGTGGATCTCCATATAACATCAAAGAGAAACAATTTGCGTGAGCCAATATTTCGACACTTACCGCAGGAAGCCAAACCTATGTGAGCAGGTGCCTAAAACGCTCTCAGAATATCATAATCAAGCAAATTCCTACCCTCGATTATGATCTCGATTCCGCGTCCACCGAGGGTACGTTATTATCATGAATGAGAGGAAATGCAACCTCCGTATTGGCGTTATTGTTAAACATCGCAGACATTTGAGCAAGAGCTGCGAAAAATGGTACCGCGAGCAGAGACGGACGAGGAGTGTCGTCTGCTATCGCCGTCTGCTCTTATCGTCTGCTTCTGCACCGACGCTGAACTGACTCCGGAGCCGGTGTAAGATTTTGAGGAATTGGGTCTGAACTCGTCCAGAACTGGGATGAATCGAACGCGCCTGTGCAGCGGCCGTGCAACTTCCGGTTGAATCGAATGCCCCAGTTCCTGCACTGCTGAACTAGTTCAGCCAGTTCAGGCGAATCGAACAGACCTATCGTTTAAACTTGTTATGACTAAGCTTCCCCTATATTGCAATGTGCCCCCACCTAGTACTTCTAACCTTCTTGGTTGTTTCGGCCTAGATCCACTAAAAAAAGTCCCCTTGAAAGACTGCCCTCTGTTGGCAACTGTAGAATCCCTGCACAATGGCGGACTAAAACAGTCAAGTCACGGCACATTTTATGCGTTTGGTTGGATTAGAATATGTATAAGCACAGCCACAGAAAAAGGGTAATGAGTAGTGACGTTGCACTTTCGACGCTGTTTGATTGGCTCGTCGGCTCTTAGCGTTGGCCGCGTTCCGAAGTTCGCAGTGGTTTCTCCATCATTGTGCAGTGGTTCTGACTTTTTAATGAGCGGCACGTGACTTCCGAAAGGTGTCTGGCGCCGGTTATGAAAATGAACCCCATTTTCTTATTGAAATTTTCACAAAAACACCCATCTTTTGATTGGGATAACGGTTTGTAATGAAACTTTCGCATCTGATTCAGACCACTAGCGCTACATTTGAGCGGAGAATGCGCGTTCGGAAACTTTTTATGGGGGTCATACCGGTACCAGACTGACAAGAAATTCACGGTACTCTCAAAAGATTGGATACTCACGAGTGATAAGTCGTCGACTTCCCTTTGCGACTCTCACGGTTCCTACCGCGGTAGTTCTGACAGGAAAGTACAGAACACGACATGCCTCCAACCACTGCCTCCAACTATCACATTTGACGCTTGAAGGATAGTAAGATGGCTGATCGAGCCAAGTTGGTCAAGCCGGCCAAGCTAAGCCAAGCCGAGAATAACATTACGGACTGTGAAAGCGCGACTCTGCGATCATCTTAATAGCAACTTCTTTTATACTATTTAGCCTTCGCCTTTAAATTTTGTCAAGATAGTTATTGAGCGTGTACCTGCCCAGTTTGTTGACGACCGCTAAAAGTAGCGAATTGGTAAACTTGGCAAACGCGTTTGACAACACTGACAACAAAGGCGGCCTCGTAGGCGGTCGCTGTCGCTTGGGCCGCCTCGGCCGCCTCGTCTCGTAAGCAGCGAAGGTAGAAAATAGCTTCGGTTGTGTGTTTAGCTAGGCTTCTTCCCGTCCGTAATAGCGAGTAACAGAAACGGGCTAGGACCCAACGCCCCTGCGACAGATTGAATTTTACCGCTGCCGCGGATAATCCTCCCCAAGAGTTCTTCCAACTGCATCTTCAAAGGTCTACAAAACTCGATTCGCGACCAAATCGACTTGGGCCCAAGTTCTCAAGAGTTCCCACGGGGGCTTCGGTTGCTCGGGTAAGTTCGTCGCGTCTTCTAGACGCAGTTTGCCCTGCTTGACTCTCCTTGGGTGAAGTGAAATGTCGACTTGACGGTCTCGTAGGAGTCCTAGTTCTCTGGCGATCCAGAGGCTTGTTCGCTCCGGCGCGCTGGCCGGGTCCGCGTTCGCCCATCGGCGACAGCAGCTTCGAACGTCGTGCAGCGTAGGCGATGAGAAGCAGCAGAACCGATATGCAAGGTATTATCGTCGAGGGTAAATTATACGCGTGCTTTATCGCGTTCCTGGGGTTCGCGATCAAATGACTGCGGAGCGCAAGTTCGTCTGCTTCTTGCGCAGAGGTTACAATGATGTCAGAACGCCGAGCTCTTATTGGCTGTTTGAAAAACTAGTGGGTAGAGACTTCTAGGCAGCTAGCAATGATGTCTACCCACTATTTCATTTCGTTTCATTTACTTCAGTCCAGGGGAGACAGGGTACAGCAGATAGGCCAAAGGTGGCCTGCAAACACCCAAACTACAAAACAAAAAAAGGAACCAGGTTTTTTTTTTTTTTTTTTTTTGGGGGGGGGGGGGGGGGGGGGAGGGGGTAGATAAAGTTGGAACGGAAATGAAACGCGAACAGCAGGCTGACGGCCTCTAGGGCACCGCCAGCGCCACGCCGAAGCCCAGGACCTGCTAAGCTAGGGCCGAACACATACTACTTGAATGTGCTTGACCCCAACCTCGGCGGTTCCCAAGAACCGTTGACCAGCTGCTGGTGCCCCATCCTGCCCCAACTGTATATATACAACAAGGATTATGACAGCGAGTGGCGGAAATGACCGGTCACTTCTCGACGGAAGAGTTCCATTTCCTCACACGACGTGGGTGTGCACAGGGTGAGGGTACTAGGCAGTGAGCGCTAGTGTGTAATGGCCCTCACCGCAAAAGACTGACAGTGTCTTTCCGTCTTGGCAAACACCGACTGCAAGATGCCCGACTGGTTTTGACGCAAGGCGCCAGGGAGCACGCCAGGCTGCATTCTCAAAATGTTAGCCAACAGTCTCACAGAGGCCACCACTTGTCATAGACATAGATGCTGCCATCCAACGGCTTGTAGCAGATTCACAGTTCACATGTCCCAGTAAAGGGCTAGGTTGAAGTGCCTCTGCCTCTTCAAGATGGCATAGGCAGCCCGACGTTGCACACTTTCCAGCGCCACCACAAGGTGTAGTTGGTGCGGGTTCCATATTGGACAGCAGTAGTCCAGCTCTGGGAGCACGAGTGCAGTGAAGAACTGCTGCAAGGTCTCGGGTCCAGCCCCTTTAGATACACAGAGACAGAAACCCAACTGTCAACGTGCTTTCGAGGTCGCCTCCCCGATGTGAGCGGAGAAGCGAAGCTGAGGGTCCAAAGTGACACCAAGCAGCTTCGCACTTGGCTTCCAGCTGAGGGTAGCACCGTCGAGGCGCAGGTCAGGGGGGGCCAGAGAACGTCGGGCACAGGAGAACATCATGGCCAAGCACTTCTCAGCGTTTTGGGAGTAGCCTTTTCTGGCAGGACCAGCCGTATACTGCCTCAAGGTCGTGCTCATCATCATCGTTTACAAACACGTTGAAGAGGGTGGAGCCTAGTACGCTGCCCTTGGGCACTCCAGATAAAACTTCAACAGGACCAGAGGTAGCATTGTGAAAGACATTGTGCTGGGTTTGCATATACGAAAAGTCTGCCAGCCAGTCAAGAAGTTCCCCAGAAACGCTGAAGCACTGGAGCTTTTGAATCAGAATTCTGTGGCCGACCCTCTTGCCTGATGTCTAGCTGCAAGAGCGCAGTGGGAGTACGACTATCCAAGTACTTGCTGGCAGTATGAGCGACCACAGCCAGGACCGACTCACAGTTGCGACCTGGTCTGAAACCTTGCTGCTGCGCTGACAAGAGGTTATGCATTCCAAGGTGATTAATTAGTTTACTGTTGATAACTCGTTCCATAGTTCTGCAGACGATGAGGTCGTTGAGGTGGGGCAGTACTAAGGTTGAAAGCTGGGCTAGTTGGTGATCGTTGTACGATGCGCTGCCACTGTGTCACTGTGGCACTTTTCCATTGTCTTGGAGCTTTCCTTGCCGACAGAGAGCAAGTGAACAGCAGGGTGAGGACTGGTCTTCATCTGCTGCTGCTGGCACGTAGAAATGCCGGGTGAACGCCACCAGGTCCTGGACCCTGGGAGGCATTAATGCAGTGCAGTGCCTCTGCCACATCCTTCTCGGCGATGATAGGAGTGGCAAGCAGAGTGTAGTCTGATTCTTGGGTTCTGGGTTGGTCACACTGTTGTACTGGACTACCGTAACCAGCCTCTGGACTACCGTAACCAGCTATCCTCTCAGTCAAAGCCAATCGGAGCTCGGTGTAGTTCTGACTTCATTGCAACCCCTAAGCAAAGAGCAGATGACTTGCTCTCCGCATGACAATCAGTCACAGGCCTGCCTTCTTTGTTTTTTAAAGCTTTTTTTTTTTCATATTGTTGTTTAGGCCGGCGGTCGGATGAAAAAGCCCAGCTTCACTAAAGAAAAGAAACTTACAAAAAGGAATGGTGTTTTCAGTTTACGTGCATACTGTTGGTGTTGTGCAAACAATCGAACGAGGAAAAATGAAAGCTCACAAAAAGCGTAAAGTTTTCGTTTTTTTTTTCTTTTTTTGTCTTTTGTTTTTTGTTTTTTTGCTGGAGCGCTGCCACGGCTGCTGACAAGGTCGCCCCTGTGCCTTGTCAGTCTTTGGCTGCATAATTTTTAATTGTCGCGAAATAAAAAAAAATAAAGTAAAGAGATTGGTTATAGGGATGTTTATCCATCTCGGCCAATATCGGTTGTCCATTTCTTAAAATAGTTTAAAAAAATACTCTTTAAAATTTGGGAACACAAAAATTCACTTTTCAGCAGACACTTCTTGCATACAGTCTGCATATAAATACTAATGATTCGGTGGAAATCCTCAAGGTGGAGATGGTGTACTTATGAATAAATTGACCTTCACGAGGAATTATTGGAATTCAGGGAATTATTGGAAGCGTATGCAATAACAAAAGAGGGGCAAGATGCATGCGTCAGCCAAACATCGGTTTTTCTTCACAAAAAAGAAATTGCCTATCTTGACACGTGCTGAAGCGATAGTGCGGTTTATTTCGTTGGTGTTTTTTCAATAAATGTTTAGTTGTGAGTTCAGCGCTTGTGCCGTTCACACCTTCCTTTCGTCCTGTGTATTTTTTGCGCGCTGTTTATTTCCGTTACCTTCACCCAAGTGGGTGTTTGTTGCACTTTATCTCGGGTGGAAGTTAAATTTATGCTTGTGTATTCTATGTACAGTCATGACCGAAAGAAACACGAACGGCGAAGCACGTGCTTTCTTGAGTACGCGGAACCATCTGCGGAACTTGCTCACGCTTCTCCGGCGAGATTATATTGGTGTTTCCTGCCGCAGCATTATCTTCACTCTTGGCTACACGTGGTGTGGCACTCGCTGTTTTGATGGCTGTTCTTCGTAATCAAAGGGCCGTCAGTGATCGGGTGGCAATGGGAGCATGCAAAATTTAGTATTGTCATCGGTAGTTCAGAGTGGTGTCACTACGTGTTTTTTGTTTCAGTCAATAAAGATAGTTTTTAGAGCGCAGCTCTTAGGCGCCCGTTTCTTGGTTGAGCGGCGTCGCCCTCGGCGTAACCACGCGTTGCATTATGAAACGTTTCCCATAATGACAACATGTGTGATGTCACGAGAGTAAAACTTTTCCGCTAAATTCAGCAGGGAAATTTTCCCGCTAAATTTAGCGGAAACATTTACCGCCAAATTTAGCGGGAAAATTTTACCCTCCTGACGTCACTCAACCCGTAAAATTTTTCCCGCTAAATTTAGCAACAAGATTTCCTGCCAAATTTAGCGGGAAAATTTTATCTTCATGACGTCACGTGAAATTTAGCGGAAAACTTTCCCCGCTGTATTTAGCGGGGCAATTAAAGTCACGTGACCTTAACACCAATTCAGTTTCCCCGCTAAATTTAGCAGGAAATTTTCATTAAATTTCCCGCTAAACGGGAGGGGAGGGTATGCATAGGGAGGAGGGACATACCCTCCCCTCCTCCACAAGAGCTGTAACTCTAATTCGGCATTACAGAGAATTGTGAACGTCTCTTTTTTTTTTTTTATTGAAACCCAATGACTGCATTGATTGTATACAAGTCACAGTGCCAGTGGAATATCAGAGAACTATGCCGCTTCTTAACAGAACTGAAACAGCTTCAGCTAAATGACTAAGCGGAATCTGTCAATAAAATGAGCAGCTCTTGTGGCTACACGATAGTCTCTGCAGTGCCACCAATTCTTATGAAGGAGTGTCATTATTTTCGAAGCCGACCACTCAAGAGCACAACATAAAGGGAGCACTGTTGACGGTGAATCACAAAAATTAAATTTGTCGCAAGGAAAAAAAAGATGAACCGGTCCCTTTCTTTAA